TCGCCGTCCCTCCCGTGCTCGTCCCGTCTCTCCTGTCATGCCCACCCACCCTATGTTGCTCCGTTCCCACTCGTCTCGTCCTCCCCTCCTCCCGTCCCCTCCTCCCTCGTCCCTTGCTGTTGCACCTCCTCCGTTCTCTGACTACCTCCGTGCTGCTCGTCCCCTTGTCCCTCGGGTCCTTGCCTCTCTTGTTACCGACCCTGCTGTTCCTGTCTCGCGCCTTGACGCGCTTGTCGCTGCTGTCGCTGACTTCGCTTCTACCCGCCGCCTTGACTACGCTACCGCTCTGGTCTCTGACCCTGCCCGTCCTCTGTCCGTCGGGGGTGCTCCTGCCCTTGGCAGTGACGTCCTAGAGGACAGGCAGTACGAGCTGGCTTTCCTTTCCGAGGCTGCTCCCCATCTCTGCTCCATGCTGTTAGTCCCTGAGGGTGACCCAGACGCCTTCGACATCCCGACCCCTCGCACCTACGCTGAGGCCACCTCGGGACCTTGGGCCTCTCAGTGGATAGCTGCCATGGAGCAGGAGATGGCATCTTGGAGATCCACCGGCACTTACGTCGACGCAGTTCCCCCGCCTGGGGTGAACGTAGTCGATGGTCGGTGGCTCTTCAAGGTGAAGCGCCCCCCTGGAGAGCCGCCTGTCTTCAAGGCGCGCTACGTGGCCAGAGGTTTCAGTCAGCGCGAGGGGGTTGACTTCTTCCAGACCTTCGCCCCGACCCCGAAGATGACCACTCTTCGGGCGCTGCTACACGTAGCAGCACAGCGTGACTACGAGCTTCACTCCCTCGACTTCTCTACTGCCTTTCTTCAGGGCAGCCTACACGAGCAGGTCTACCTGCGCCGACCACAGGGCTTCACTGGTACCTTCCCTCCTGGGACCCAGTGGCTTCTCAGGCGCCCGGTCTACGGCCTGCGTCAGGCTCCCCGCGAGTGGCACGACACGCTACGTGCCACGTTAGCAGACCTGCAGTTCTTTCCGTCCTCTGCTGACCCTTCACTGTTTGTGCGTTCCGGCCAGACTCCGTTCTACATCCTTGTCTACGTAGACGACCTGGTCTTCGCTACTCCTGACAGGGACGCACTGGCCTCTGTGAAGGCTGAGCTGCTGAAGAGACACACCTGCACTGACCTTGGAGAGCTGCGTCGCTATCTTGGCCTGCAGATCTCTAGGGACAGAGCAGCACGCACCATCACTCTGACCCAGTCACACTTGGTGCGTCAGGTCCTTCAGAGGTTCGGTCTTCAGTTCTCCTCCGCACAGCCCACACCTCTACCCGTAGACCATGGGCTCTCTGCTCCCGTTCCTGAGGAGCTTGTAGAGCCCAGTGGCCCCTACGCAGAGCTGGTGGGTTGCCTAATGTACCTGATGACTTGCACTCGCCCAGATCTCGCATACCCTCTCAGCATCCTGGCTCGCTTTGTGGCTACAGGCAGACACCGACCTCAGCACTGGTCTGCCGCTAAGAGGGTTTTGCGTTATCTTGCTAGTACATCAGGCATGGGGTTAGTGCTAGGAGGACGCAGGCCAGTGGTCCTTACTGGGCACACAGACGCTTCTTGGGCAGACGACGCTGAGACGCTCAGGTCGTCGCAGGGCTACTGTTTCAGCCTTGGTTCGGGTGCTATCTCTTGGAGATCCACTCGCTCGTCGTCTGTGGCTCAGTCTAGCTGTGAGGCTGAGATCTACGCTGGTGCCATGGCGGCACAGGAGCTCCGCTGGCTGACCTTCTTGCTCACAGACTTAGGTGAGCGGCCTAGCTCTGCCCCGGTCCTGTACGCTGACAACAGGGCCATGATACTCCTGTGTCAGGAGCCTCGGCTTGAGGGCAGAGCGAAGCATATCCAGCTGCGGTACTTCCTCCTGCGCGAGCTACAGCAGCGCCGCCAGGCCCGCGTAGTTCACTTGGCCTCAGGTGCCAACACAGCTGATATCTTTACTAAGGCGCTTGCGCCTAAAGATCATCAGCGGCACTGTGTACAGCTTGGTCTTGTTCCTGTAGCTGCTCCCCTGTTAGGATCCTGATTGTGTACTCTCTATTATATATGCTTGTCAGACTGGCCTTGTGGCCTTACCTCCAGTGGCTGGACTAGTAGTGCCACCCTGGCTTGCTTTAGTTTTGGTTGTATTCTTGCTGACTGGTCTCCAGACCCCTGCCTCAGTGGTTGGACTAGTAGTGCCGCCCTGAGCTGTTTGCTTCTTGTTTAGTTTCACCCCTTGTCTAGCCTAGGGGGTGTGTCAACTTATACATATTATCTATGTAGAAGTTATAGGCTAGACTGAGGTATGCTTCTAGTGAGTACAACCAACTAGTATTTGTTCTAGGTTTCCACCTCTAGTAATCATTCGTTTCTACGTTAACAGGCCGGTGACGACGTTGGACTCGCCGCGATTATTCGTAGTCGGAGCCATGACGGATCGGTGAAACTTAAAAATGTCGGAGAGAAGAGTTGAGGGAGACTCGCCGCGAGGCAAAGTTCTAGTCTTAGCCAGCTTGAACGGGAGAAAAGCTAGAGCGGGAAGGTTGACTGAGCCGTTTGAAAAATGAGAGACGTGGGTGGAGGTAAATGAGCTCCAACCCACGTATATGTAGTTGGAGAAGGGCGAGTAGCGCGCTTCGACGATGCCCAACGCTTCAGTACAATCAGCTTCGCTTTCACAATACACAATTTTTGAAAAAACACTACGTGTGTTAAAAAATATAATATTTGAACACCCCCCCGAAACCTTTAACCTTGCTTTTGAGTAGCATAGACGAGCGCTACCCTCTTTTCCAACCACTGCTGCTGTGCCATCACCTGAGCGTGAGAGCGAGTGGGAAACTTATCAAGGAACCTTTACAGCGCGGTTCAAGGGGTGCGACACAGAAAAATTTCGAGACCCATTTTGACTGCCTGAACTAGTGTGTCCCTTCCCTTGAATCCTCAAAACTAAATGTTCGCTAGTTGACTTTTGGGTCGCGCTCGCCTTCCCGCCAAGAAAATCGTGCCATGCCTCCGTACGCGATGTCGAAGGGGAAAACAAAATACAGCAGAGTACGACAGTGCACTTTCTTTAGGAAAAACAATATCACATACGCAAGTTCCATAACACCCAGGCGTTATACAAAATTAGCCTCTAATTACACCCTCCTCAAAATTTAGAGGCATTTTGGTTACCACCCTAGGGTGCTTTATACGGGGGAATACGGTAGGTACAAATGCCAGCGCAGCCGAAAATTGAAATAGTGAATGTGGTTGCACTGTACTTATGTACAAAAATGAAGATAAGCATTTACCCTAAATAGAAAACACACGTACATAAGGTTGCAGCAATGCTTTTCGCTGAGGGTGTCAAACATGTGTATTTGTCATGTTTGTATAGACTGTATAGAGTCACCTCTTAGAGGATACAAAACTTAGATATATTTGTGTGTACTCTCACTTTCGCTCCGACCCCGAAGATGACTACTCTTCGGGTTCTGTTACACCTAGCTGCTCAGCGTGACTACGAGCTTCACTCCCTCGACTTCTCCACTGCCTTCCTTCAGGGCAGCCTACACGAGCAGGTCTACCTGCGCCGCCCTCCGGGCTTTACTGGCACCTTCCCTCCTGGGACCCAGTGGCTCCTGCGGCGCCCCGTCTACGGCCTGCGCCAGGCTCCCCGTGAGTGGCACGACACTCTGCGTGCTACGCTTGCTGACCTGCAGTTCTTTCCGTCTTCTGCAGACCCTTCACTCTTCGTTCGTGCTGGCCAGACTCCGTTCTACATCCTCGTTTACGTCGACGACCTGGTCTTTGCCACAGCAGACAGGGACGCGCTGGCCTCCGTGAAGGCAGAGCTGCTGAAGAGACACACGTGCACTGACCTTGGAGAACTGCGCCGTTACCTTGGCTTGCAGATCTCCAGGGACAGAGCTGCGCGCACCATCACCCTGACTCAGTCACACTTGGTGCGCCAGGTCCTTCAGAGGTTCAGCCTTCAGTTCTCCTCTGCACAGCCCACCCCTCTGCCTGTAGACCACAGGCTCTCCGCTCCAGTGCCTGAGGAGTTGGTAGAGCCCAGCGGCCCCTACGCAGAGCTGGTGGGTTGCCTCATGTACCTGATGACTTGCACTCGCCCAGATCTCGCATACCCTCTCAGCATCCTGGCTCGCTTTGTGGCCACAGGTTGACACCGACCGCAGCACTGGTCTGCCGCTAAGAGGGTTCTGCGTTATCTTGCTAGTACATCGGGCATGGGGTTAGTGCTAGGAGGACGCAGGCCAGCGGTCCTTACTGGGCACACAGACGCTTCGTGGGCAGACGACGCTGAGACACTCCGGTCTACCCAGGGCTACTGCTTCAGCCTTGGCTCAGGTGCCGTCTCGTGGAGAGCTACTCGCTCCTCGTCTGTTGCACAGTCCAGCTGTGAGGCTGAGATCTACGCCGGTGCCATGGCGGCACAGGAGCTCCGCTGGCTGACCTTCTTGCTCACTGACTTAGGTGAGCGACCTAGCTCTGCCCCGGTCCTGTTCGCTGACAACAGGGCCATGATCCTCCTGTGTCAGGAGCCTCGACTCGAGGGCAGAGCGAAGCACATTCAGCTGCGGTACTTCCTCCTGCGTGAGCTACAGCAGCGACGTCAGGCTCGCGTAGTACACTTGGCCTCAGGTGCCAACACGGCTGATATCTTTACGAAGGCGCTTGCGCCTAAAGATCATCAGCGGCACTGTGTACAGCTTGGTCTAGTTCCTGTAGCCTCTCACTTGCTAGGACCTTGACTTTGTACTGTCCTTTATATGTATACTCAGACTGGACTTGTGTCCTCTCCCAGTGGCTGGACTAGTAGTGCCGCCCTGCTCTTGTGCTTGCCTTGTCTGTACTCCTTCTGACCGGTCGCTCAGACTCTTGTCTCAGAGGTTGGACTAGTAGTGCCGCCCTGAGCTGCTTGTTTAGGGTATTCCCCTATGCAGTCTAGGGGGTGTGTCAAACATGTGTATTTGTCATGTTTGTATAGACTGTATAGAGTCACCTCTTAGAGGATACAAAACTTAGATATATTTGTGTGTACTCTCACTTTACAATTATTCAATTATTCTGATAGAGGGTCCATACAAAACCGGTCACCGTGAATCATACACTACACATTCTGCTGCGCTGGTTGCATACGCATGGTATGCAGGTGGTGCGCCAACTCACCCACCACCCAGTGCTTCTCCGGGTCACTCAGGGTCTCACCGAATCTGTGCTCATCCTGCACATCTACTACAATCACACACACCAGATTTGGCGATACCGGTGCTGGCCGATACCCTGCGGGCGCCGGAGCAGCAGCAGCAGCAGGAGGCATGGGGGAAGAACCGGAAACCGGGGCAGCCATGGTTTGCGTTGGCGGGGGTTGCATCAAGTGCCGTGTGTTCACGTCTTGCACCGCAATGACTCGGATCCTCGGCGTGCTGCCGCTGACCTGCCTGCGGGTTGAACCAATGCGCCGAACCATGATGGTGAAGGACTCAGGCGACAGCAGAATGGTTTCGGTGCGGGTGGCGTTGTGAATCCACATGAAGCCAAGGCTGAGATGGGCGCGGCAGGGCCGAGAGCAGCACAGGTGGGGAAGGTGGTAGGCAGAGGGAAAAGGTACAGGATGTGAGAAGATGGGTTTGAAAACTTGAAATTGGATAAATGAATGTGACGTGTGGGACTCGATTTCTAGCTGCAGAGGGCGATTTGAGATGGCAATATGAAATGGTGTTCCTTCTGAAACAGTCAGAAGCAGCCCGACTAACGGATTGAAGGTGCCGAGGTACCCACTAGGCGAAGCCGGCGAAGATGCAGATTGTGAAGGGCAGGAAGATGGCGACTGCCACAGCTATCAGAATCTGTGAGGGCGGTTGGGGGGGAGTTGAGAGGGCGGGAGGTGAAGCCGGGTGACGATTGGGCGGGGAGAGAGGGGAGAGGAGCCCAAGCTGGGGTGTGAAGAGTACGGGAAAATAAAAAACGTGACGATGGGGGCTTGCAGGGAGTGAGGGGATGCGCGGCTTACAGCGAAGGGAGTGAGGAAGCAGAGGATCCAGCCGACCGCGCCCTGGTCATGGAAGTAGCCAGGCGCCGGCACGCGCACCTCCAACGCCCCGCCCGGCACCTCCGAGATCACCTGCCACCGGCGGAGCAGCGGAGCGGCGTGTGAGGGGTTGGGGGCTACACATGACGAAAGGACGGAACTTGCCGGGGACTCGGCAAAGGAGTCCCTGATGGCGCCTCCCACCCGATGCTGACGCCGTAAGAAATGTGACATTTCTGGGCTTCCTCAAGGTTAGCTTTCCGGTTTTTTGTTTCTTGTTTTTTTCCTTTTTCTTTTGGACAAAGGGTCACAGGCTGTCACTGCGCGAGTACGGTGACTTAACTCCATTGGTGAGTCAAGCGGCTTACAAGCACGATGCATCACAAGTGTCAGCTACCACCACGTACCACGCGGCTCTTATCGGGTTTGGCGCAGCGACTCGCCGGAGCAGGCAACGGCGGCGGTACGGGAACGCCCATCACGGGGAACGGCGGAGCAGGTTGGGGGAGAGGCGGTCCATATTGGGGTGGAGGCGGACCACATTGGGGTTGAGGCAGACCATACTGGGGTTGAGGTGGACCATATTGGGGTTGAGGCGGACCAGGCGGAGCGTATTGGGGTTGAGGCGGACCATATTGGGGTTGAGGCGGACCACACTGGGGTTGAGGCGGAGCATACTCGGGGTAAGGATTAGCAGCGGCTGCGTTGAGAGGCGGAGTAATAGGGGCTCCCTCTGGCGTTGCAGCTGCCGAGCTCTCTGGGTAAGCTCCCATTGTGGCTCGAGCACCTAACTCTAGGCTAGTAGTCGGCGTGCTCTGCGGGTGCACTGCAGTGGCAAGGAGAGGCACGAGGTGCGAGCTGAGAGTGATCTTGGTGTGACGTGTGAGAAGAACGGACTGAATGCGCTAGCAGCAGTTGTATGTTGACAGGGCAGGACAGGACAACCAATGCTGCAGTCGTTGGCGGGGTGTTTCTTCCGCCGCTTGGCACGCTCTGCCGCAGTGCGCAGAGGTTGCGCGTGCATCTGCGCTACAGCGGAGCATGTCTGGCCTTATGACTCGGCGAGGTGGCTGGCTTCGCCTCGCTGGCATTGCCCGCGTTTACAAAATCGACCTGATTGGTGGGGACATTCAGGTTCGGTTCCGTTTCATGTGTTATGAATGGAACTGCCAATTAGCGGAGGGCAATGGCGAAACTGTGAACGAGTGAATGACAATAAAATGAAAGACAACACAATATATAGGAAACCTAGGCTAATCCTGAATGTAGGATGAGAAGGTTCGAGAAAACGATGTGTCCGAAGCGAGGTCCGGAAGGCCCAGGAGGCTCGAACTGAAAAGTCTGGAGAGCTATCGCTGGTTCGGGACTGTTCGAGACTTACGCTCTGTAGCAAGCCTCTGTAAGGAATTACTCATTCCTTACATCATGTATAGGAAGTACTATGCATACGTTTTTTTCATAAATTGGACTTATTACACACCCATTTGCATGTCTATTCATGTTAACATTTGATTATTACAGCTAATAATACATTGCACGAATAACTCACACATCTGCCGGTTGGTTCACCAACCAAGCATGCATTACACTACAACAAACAAAGCATGATACACAGCTGCAAAAGCATCCCATAATACACAGCACACATCCATCCATACACTACTTCTGCAGGGTTTCAAAGAGATGTCCCCTTGAAACGCAACCACCAATACAGCTCCCTGCAAGAGCAGAGGCTTCAGTGGGGGTGGAGGGCTGGCTGTCTAGTTGGATCTCCAGCAGGTCCAGCAGCTCAGGGACCCCCGATGCCCTGGCCAGGTCATAGGGCGTGTTCCCACTCACGTCCTCCAAGTGGGGGTCTGCTCCATGGGCCATAAGCAGCTGTGGGTTGGAAGCAAGGGTTGGGAAAGGAGGGATGTTGAGGTGGAGTGAGGGCGATGCAGTGGCACGAACACAATCTCGGGGGGGTGGGGGGTGGGGGGGGGGGGGGAGGGGATGTTGCAGTTGGCAAAAGACATAGGTGCAAGGATGGGCAGACCAGCGAATGACTTAACCACTTGAGCTGCTGACGAAACGAACAGGAAGCACAATATCTTACCTTGGCAACGGGCGCGCTGCGATTGGCACAAGCCACGTGCAGGGCCGTGCATCCTGCATAGTCCTGCGCGCTCACATCCGCTCCCGCTGCCAGCAGCCGCTGCAGATACTCCAAGCTGCCGCCGCCCCTGCTGCTGCCACTGTTCACCTTTGCCCGGCTTGACAGGGAGCGAAGCAGAGACGCTGACGTGGAGGATGCTGCTGACGTGGACAAGGAGAGGGCGGGGATGGCAGGGGAGTTGACAGCAGAGGAGGAAGCGGAGGGGGCAGCAGCAGGGGTGGCGGGGAGGCAAGGGGAGGAGGAGGTGGTGGTGCGGGGAATGGGACCAGATGCCGCAGCAGCAGCAGCAGCAGCAGCAGCAGCAGCAGCAGCAGCAGCAGCAGCAGCAGCGAGGCGGCAGAGGGTGGCCCCGGCGTCTTTGAGCAGGAGGGCCGCGCCGGCTGCCTGCAGTGTTTCTGCTGCCCTGCTGTGGCCGTTCTTCACCGCCTCCAGGAGAGGTGTGGCGCCGCAACGGTCTGAGGAGATAGGGTGAATGCGGGCAGTAGAGGAGACATTCAGTGCGTTGAGTCAGGTTGAGGGACGCAGCAGGCAAGCAGGGATCTTTTATTCTGCAACTAGAGTACCAAAGCAACGGCGGTGTAAAGATGGAGATAGAGGCAGAGTGGGGGGGGGTGGGTGTGGAGACTCCTTTGCAGCAAGGGAGATGTGCATGAAGCAGCACTCACCCAGGGCGTTGATGTCCACCCCGCGGTGCTTGAGCAGTGCGCTGATGCACGCCACGTGGCCATAGGCAGCTGCCACGTGCTGCAGGGGAGAGAGCGCAGGGGAGAAGGCAGGCAGGATACAGGGGCAGGGGAGAGGGAGGCGGAGTGGAGAGCAGCAGTTTGAGGCGAGTCGCACATCAAGTGCGCGGCAGGAGACAAGCAGCACGGCGTTCTGCCATGGCCCTCAGACGCACACGGTCCAGAGCAGGGAGAGGAGAGTGCCTCACCAGTGGTGTGCGCCCGTTGTAGTCGTGGCAGACGGCCAGCGCCGGTTTGCCTGCCAGCAGGCTGCAGAGCTCGTCCACGCGGCCAGCGCTAGCAGCGCTGCACACCGCCGCCACGTGGTCGCCGTCCCCCCCATGCACGGCGATCGACTCCAGCTGCACCTGCTGCTGCCCGCCCATTCCCCCCTTCTGGGGCCCCTCGGGCGTGGCCCCCACGCTCATCCACACGGGCAGCCCGCGGGGCAGGCCCTGTGCCACCGCGTGCTCCGAGGGCGCGCGGGCGAGCGAGGGCGCGCCAGAGATGGTGTTGCGCAGCGTGGAAAAGAGGAGGGCGGCGTCCGCGGGGTAGGCGGAAGCGATGGCGGAAAAAGCAGAGGAGGAGAGGCGCAGGAGCTGGGAGTGCTCCAGGGCGCGCACGGTGAAGAGGTGCGGCACGCCGCACATGACGGCCGTCTTGCCGAACACCGCGCCCGCACTGAGGAAGGCAGAGCGCTGCGAGGGGAGAGAGGGAGAGAGGGTGAGAGACGAAGAGGTAGATTGTGAGGGCACGAAAAAAAGGCTTCTTTGCAGTGTGCTAACAGGGAGCATAAATAAGCAGTTGGCAGACTGTGACGAGAGGCTGCCCTTGAGGTTATTCACACCGACATACCCCATCCTCTAACGCTGACTGCGGGCCGTCCTCGCGCACGAGCTTGCCTGACAGCACGATGTACAGGTGCGCGGCCACGTCGCCCTCTGACGTCACCACGTCGTTGCGCATCACTGTGTGCACACCCATCTCCGCCACCTGCCATGGTGCAGGGGGGGTGGGGGAGAGGGGGAGAAGGGGGGAGGTGGGTGCGGGGATAGTGGCAGAGGGATGTGCCTTGAGGAACGGCTGCGACAGACGTGAGGGGAAGCTCGTCGTTGCGCATGGCGGTGTGCGCCCCCATCTCCGCCACCTGGCGCATGCATGCATCCCGGTGGGACGACTGTGCACACATGCAAATAAATGGGCACAGCAACCGTCGAGATTCTTGAAAACGGAGCGGCCGAAAGGATGAAGATGAGGGGGAGAAGGGGGAGAAGGGGGAGAAGGGGGAGAAGGGGGAGAAGGGGGAGAAGGGGGAGAAGGGGGGGAAGGGGGGACAAGAGGGGAGCGGTACAGTGGGCGGGGGCTCACGAGCTGCTTGAGGAAGGGCTTGGAGCAGAGCGAGAAGCCGTCGAGGTTCTCCACAATGGGCAGGTAGAGCTGGCGCGAGACGGCGGCGCGCAGGTGCGCGGGGATGTGCGCGAGGAAGGTGGAGGTGTCGCTCTTGCCCATCTGCAGCTGCACGCGCAGCTGCTGCCGCAGCTGCTTCTCCATGTCGGAGGGCAGGTTGGTGCGCGCCGCGTAAGCCTTGAGCGCCGCCATGTCCTCGTGCTGGGGAAGAGGTGGGTACGGGGGGAGGGGGAGTTGGGGGGGGGGATGGAGAGACGAGGTTGGCATGAGTTGTGAGCGCAGGACGGGAAGACGGCGAGAGGGGACGAACGAGGCAGCAGTGGGAGAGGCAGGAGGCAGGACGGTTGCAGGGCGACTCACGTATTGCATGGTCTTGCTCGACTCCTTCACCATCAGCATCGTGAGCGTTCCTAGCGTGTACGCCAGCTGCGATGAGGGGCGGACGTGAATACGACGGAAAAAGAAGGGCGGCGGGGGGAAGCAATGAGGTGGTCGGATGATGAGCTTGCTGGCAGTGAGGAGTCTATTTTTGAGGCGTTTCAAAAATAGACTCCTCACGTCAGATGATGAGCTTGTTGGCAGTGAGAGCTGACAAGGTGGAGGCTCCAATGCGAGCATGGCAAGGAGTCGCACGACCTGACAGCACCCAGGCGAGGAGAGACACGCGAAGCCCGCAGCAGGAGACTCACGGCGGCCATGCCGAAGAGCGCGTAGAAGCAGCAGAAGATCTGCTCCGCCGTGGTGACGGCCGTGTACGCGGGGCCGATGCTGGTGATGACGAAGATGGACCACCACATGGCGGCGATGTACTGTAGCAACACCGGCTGGGACGGCCAGTCCGCGCCCACGCCCTGCCCGATCCACGTGGCGGCGGGGTCGGGCTCCATGAGCGTGAGGAAGAAGTAGGCCACTGCGAAGAGATGCGAGGCGAGAACAATGTTCTGAGGGCGGCGGGGGGGCGGGTCAAAGGGAAGCACGTGAGTGCGGGGTCGGAGTCGAGAGGAGAGAGGAGAGAGGAGAGAGGAGAGAGGAGAGAGGAGAGAGGAGAGAGGAGAGAGGAGAGAGGAGAGAGGAGAGAGGAGAGAGGAGAGAGGAGAGAGGAGAGAGGAGAGAGGAGAGAGGAGAGAGGAGAGAGGAGAGAGGAGAGAGGAGGGAGGAGAGAGGAGAGAGGAGAGAGGAGAGAGGAGGGAGGAGAGAGGAGAGAGGAGAGAGGAGAGAGGAGAGAGGAGAGAGCGGAGTGAAGTGGTGAGGCGGAAAGTGCGTCCAAGCAGCGGGGGCCGTGCGGCACTCACGAGCACGAGCTTGAAGATGCGGATGCCGAAGTACAGCGGCCGGTTCGCGCGCCCGAGGCTGCAACGCACGGAGAGGTGGAGAGATGGAGAGGGGGAGAGGGGGAAGGAGCGCGGGAGAGACGAGAGAGGCGACTGAGTGCAGCACGAGAGTGGAAGCATCCACCAGCGGGCCGGGAGTGGGAGGATGGTGTTGGCGCGCAGAGGTGGCGAGGTGCGAGTCTCGAGGAGGCTTACAGCGAGAGCGCGCGGTAGAAGTGCACGACGCGGTAGAGCCGCAGGCACACCAGCCCGCGGAACGCGTAGCCCAGCGCGCCGCCCGCCGGCGCGCCGGTGGCCCAATAGTAGATTAAGTTACAGGGTACGGACGAGAGCACGTCGAAGAGGAACCCTCCGCGAAGGTACCTGCGGGGAGGAGAGAGGGGAATGGAGGAAGCTAGTTAGTAGTGAAGGGACGGGCGATCGACAAGGGGAAGGGCGGACACGACAGCGTGCGGATGGAAGGCCAAAGGGGCAGCGGAAGCGGAGGCGGAAGGGGGATGGGCAAAAGGCGGAGGGGATGGAAGTGGCAGCGACGGGAGGGCGCGGTCACCTGAGGGCGATCCTTCGCTTGCAGGTGACGAGGCGCAGCGTGGCGGAGCAGCGGTACGCGACGACGAAGGTGAGCGCGGCGTGCACGAGGAAGGCGAGGCCCACGGCCGCGTCGAAGTAGAGGACGGCGGGGGAGGGTGCGGGGAGGAAGGCGAACTCGAACGACGCCCAGAAGCACGACCACAACACCAGCACGTGCACCACGCTGCAGGGGGGAGAGCGGGAAGGGGGGGTTGGAGAGGGTTGGGGAGTGAGAAAGAGAGGGCAGGAGGCGAGCGGCGGAAGGAGACGGCTGCGCGTGAGGGGGATGTCGAGTCGGCGAGAGCCGGGAGACGACCCCAAGAGGTGGGGACCGACAGAGGACGATCGGCGGACGACGGGAGGAAGCGAGGGGGGAGGGGAGGGTTGAGAGACGGGGGGAGGGGAGGAGCGGAGGAGGGGGGAGCGGAACTTGCCCGTTCCAGAGGCGGAAGCGGGGCGCGCTGGGGTGCAGCAGCCCCATGGCGGCGCACGTGGTGCGCTCCGCGGCCATCTGGTCCGCCGCCCTCAGCTCCGACGTGCACGCGCGCAGCCGCCCCGCCTGCTCCGCGCCCGCCTTCGTTCCGCTCATTCCGCTCGAACCCATCGCCGGTGTATAACGCGTGTGGACTAACCAACTCTCCCTACGGACACCCGATCGAGCGATAAATATCCCAAGAAGCACTACCCCTGCAACTAGTTCTTACAAACCCTAAAACAAATCGGCAACTCCGTCAGCGGAGACTCTATATCGCGGACACGGGTCCGGAAGGCGAGGCGATTAGCGCGTATGGGTGAGTCTGAGAGAGTCGCTTCCCGGGGTCTCAAACTAGGGAGTGGTGCGGACGACGATGAGGAGCGTCATCTTACGCCGCTCTAGCGAGGGTATCCGGAAGTCGAGCCAGTGCGACCGGGAGCGCCTGCTGTTGGAGTCGGCTACCTCACTGCTTTCTCGCATCCGTTAACGAGTGAGCGTCCACTAAGAGGGGTTCGACGGGAGCCGTGTCACGGATTGGACATCGATCTTGCTCTAGATAACTCCTCGCGATGGCGAGAGTAGTTTCAGAGTTGTGTGTGGAGCCGAGACGAGCAGCGTGCCTGAATGAAGGTGTGGAGGCGGGTGTGGAAGAGTGGGAGGCAACTGGGGTAGATAGAGGCAAAGCGACGCGGGGTTTCCCTTCCCTTCCCTCCCTGCGGTGGGTACAGTATTTGCAGCCGCAGCCAACAGCAGCCACTCACGGCCTCCTACGGTCTCCCACGGACCCACTTGGTTGCAGGAAAAGCCTTCTGCGATTAGGCACGCGGTCAGGTAGGGTTTGGGGAGGAAGCCATGGCGCTGATGGTGTTGAGGTTGGGGCTGGCAGGGAGGAAGGTCGCATTCAGGCCTTTGGTGGTGACGCGAGGACATCCTCCCATTGGTCAGGGACCCTCTCAGGAGCCGAGCAGCCGTTAACGAAATCTCTTGAGCGTCTATTTCGCTGACGGAGGGACGCAGGTGGTCGGTCAGAGAGGCTGCCGTTTTTTAGCCAGGTAAATTGAGTTTCATTGCAGGGCAGAGGGAAACGCTCCTGAAGATCTTAAAAAATGTGGAACGCAAAGGGAAGTTTTTAGCCAGAAGCTACGCACTGCCGTTCCAAGATATCCGCGATCGCTACCTGCTGAGCCTGTATGCTCAGAGCTCTTCAGACAGGCAGGTGGACCTCGCTAAGAACACCACTCGAAGCAAAGCGTAAGAGCGATGTAGATTGGGGTGAACATTTGGTGTACATTTGTACATTTGGCTCTTGCACAAACTACTGTATCACAAGTCTAGATGCCTGGTCATCCTTAGATTTCATTATCATCTCACCGAACTATAACTTTTGAACAACGCACGACAGTAATCATTTACTTTTAAGCTGTACATTTCTCATCAAACAAACCTGCAAACTCTCTGGCCCTTGCTCAGCATTAGCACAACGAATTCACTGCTATTGCTGAAGAACTAACTTGTCTCCTATGGCATGGCTTCAAGTGCCTGACCGTATGGCTGTTGGCCCCGTATTCCGCTGGACCACTAGCCTGAGGGCTGAGACACTTCCCCCTCTCTAGATTCCCGCTTGCTTGCCGCACACGCTGGGCCATGCCTGTGGGGCAGGGACCACTCTCACTTGCAGAACGGGGGAACCTTCCGTTGCTGCCTTTCAGCCCCTTCCTGGCGGGTGATACCTTTGCACTCGTGGGACCCATAGGATAACCCACATCAACACGCAACCGCTGCTGCAATGGGGGTTCTTCTAACAGAGACAGAGTGTGCTGCCCCTGTCGCTGCTGGCTGACCAGCCTGCACTCCGATTCCTTCAGCCTCTGGGCCAGCTCTCTTCCATCACCGTCAATGGTCGCCACAACTGCTACTGCAGAATCAAGGCTCACTCGCGGTCGGCTCCCTGAATTGGTGCAAGGCACATCGTCGCGAGTCCCCTTGATAGTGAAACGCGGTCCCAACGCTGCTCCTCTGGGACTTCGCACTGGCAGCTCCTCCAATTTGAACCTGTGATTGACTAACACAGTAGCGCCACCGGGCACACGGAAGCGCCCCTCATCCTCATTGGCAGCTGCCACATCACATGTGCTTGTGCAAATGCTATTGCCACTGACAAATCGCACATTGCTGATACAGCCGCTGCCAGACCTGATTATGCTGCTACAGCCGCTGCCAGACTTGATTATAGTGCTAGAGCAACTGCCAGTGGCGACCTTGGGGCTGCAGGTGCCGCTGTGGGGCCTGGAGAGCACCCTGGCGAAGGCGGACGACACGATGGCTCGCTCCGCCGCGCGGTGCTCCGCCACCATGCCGTACAGCTTCACGAACTCCTCGTCCGAGTCGTACCCCGCGCTCCCATCGTCCACACTCGTCGTGCCCGCTTCCCCCTCCTTGTCCCCGTCGCCTCTCGCATCACCGCGTTCGCTGCCTCCCCCGGGACTGCTTACTTCCTCTCTCCGACGAGCCTCCGCGGCCGTTTTCCGCCCAGACAGGCTTTGGCTCGCGGGGAAGACCCGCGCGCGGGTCTCAGTGCAGGACTCGTCCCGGGTGAGCTCCCCGCCGTCCACACTGATGCTGCGGGGAAACCGGCGAGCGTGCCCCGTGCGCTTCAGCAGCGGCGGCATATCGAGAATCGCATCCTTTCTCGCCTGGACCCGGCCGATGAGTTTATTTCGCACGCACGTGTTGCTTGCCGCGGCGGCTTTCCCTAGGCGCGGTGCAGAATCTGCGTCCAGATTCGCAGGATGGTCTATTCTAGGGCTCGAAAGTGGGCTGCAGTTCGGATTCGGCGAGGATGGGGAGATCGTTGTGGACGGAGAAAGCGGCGGAAGGTCGGCGGGGCTGGTGGGGGAAAGAGAGCCTCCAGTGGCCTGTGAGGAGAGGGGCTGTGCGCTGCTGTCCGGCGCAAGGAGACGGTTGGGGTCTGACGCGGAGAGAATGACGGTAAGATCCGGCAGGGACGGCGAAAGGCGCATCCGTGGGACTTCTGTGGGGAGCAACATGACGGTAGCGCTGATGCGAGTCACGCGTAGACAGCTTGGTTAGAAGGCCTGCTGAAAACATGAGAGGAGAGAGGCTTTCGGGATTTTGTGAGTGTTATCGATAGATCAGATAAGGGCTGCTGTCTGTGAAGAAGTGTCACGACCTAAGAGGCTCGAGAGACGTGCAGCCGAGATAGAGCAAGACTCGGTTTGAGCGGGATGCGAGGACGACTGGCACGTTAGGCAAGGTGGGATGGTGGGAGCAACGAGAACCGACACTGGGAATGCAACGAGGGGAGCGATGTGACTCGGTTGATGGCGACAGCTGTTTCAGCAGGTGCTGGTTTGCGGGGGGCGGTGGAGGGGGGGAACCGAAAAGATGATCCCACGGCGCGCTGATTCGCGAATCACGAATCACGATTCACGATTCACACCCCCAAGGGCTGTTTCAGCCCTCGATGTTGTCGAGGTGGCTGGCCTTGTGCAGGCAGATGCAGCTGTGAGGCTCACGCCGCCTGTAACAGTAACGCTCGTATTCAGTCGCTCAAACTGTTCAAGACTGAGGCTGCTCGCTGCGATTTGCAGGGGGAACAAGTGCGTGATACTAGCGCGGACATGAAATGTGGGTATAGTATCAGCAATAACACAAGGAATTCAAATCAACCGATATTGCAGAAGAACTAACCCGTCTCCTATGGCCTGGCCTCAAATGCCTAGCGGCATTGCTGCTGGCCCCATTAACCGCTGGAATACTGACTTGGGGGCTCAGACAGTCCCCACTTGTTCCTGGATTTTCACGTGCATGCCATGCGGTCTCCGCCACGCCTCTGGAGCTTGCTTTTGCATGAGAAAGCAAGGCGCTGTCAGGAGTAAAAATGCTTGAAACACTCACACTCGCTGAACGGGAAAACCCTCTCTTGTTGCCTGTGGCCTGCAGTGGATGTGGCTGCTGTTGGTTGGGCATATATACAGAACTTAACCATTCGTTGCTGCCGTTCAGCCCCGCACTGGTAGGGGATCTCTTCCCATTGGAGAAGTCAGCATCATTTGCTCTTGCAGAATCAAGGCTTACTCTAGGCTGACTTCCCGAAACGGTGCAAGCCCCACTCTGGGGTCCCAGCACTGCTGCTCTGGCACTTGGCATCAGCATTTCCGTTGATCTTCTCCTGGGACTTGCACATACAGCAGCGCAACCAAGCACACGAGAAAGCCCCTCATCCTCATGGGCTGCTGCCACACCACATGTCGTCTCGCTGTTGGTGCAAATGGTTTTGCCGCTGACAAAATGCATATTGCTGCTGCAGCCGCTGCCAGATCTGACGATGCTCTTACATCCACCGATGGATCTGATACTGCTGCGACAGCCACTGTGAGACGCGATCTTGGGACTACACCCGCTGCCAGACCTGGCGATGCTGCTACAACCGCTGCCAGACCTGGCGATGCTGCTACAGCCGCTGCCAGTGGCGACCTTGGGATTGCAGGTGCCGCTGTGGGGCCTGGAGAGCACCTTGGCGAAGGCGGACGACACGATGGCTCGCTCCGCCGCGCGGTGCTCCGCCACCATGCCATACAGCTTCACGAACTCCTCGTCCGAGTCGTACCCCGCGCTCGCATCGTCCACACTCGCCAGGTCGTTCTTCCTGTTGCTTGTCGCAGCCTTACCCCTCCCCGGCCCCCTTGATTCCTCTCTCCCGCGAGCCTCCGCTGCTCTCGTCCGTCCGGTGGTCTCCGACAGGCTTTGAGAGGAGGGGTATTCGAGGCCGCGAGGTATGGTGAGAGAGTCGTTCCTGCTGAGCTCCACGGCGCTCACGCTGATGCTGCGAGGGTAGTCGCCGCTGCCGCCCAAGGAGTACCGCCGCGCGTGCCCAGTGCGCCTCAGCGACGGTGGCATTTCGGAAACTGCATTTTTTCTTGGCTGCACTTTGCCGATGCAGCCATTCTCCCTCGCGCCGGTGTTGCTTCCCGCGGCTTTCGACCGGCGCGTTGTGGAAACTGCATCCAAATCCGGAGGATGGCCGACTCTGGGGCTCGAAAGTTGGCTGCATTGAGGCTTTATCGAGGACGGGGAGATTGCCGTTGAAGGAGAAAGCGGGGGAAGGTCGACGGGGCTGGTGGGGGAAAGAGAGCCTCTAGTGGACGGTGAAGTGAGGGGCTGAGCGGTGCTGTCCGGTGCAAGGAGGCGGTTGAGGTCTGACGTGGAATGAAGGGAAGTAAGGTCCGGCAGGGACGGCGAAAGACGCATCCGTGGGGCTCCGGTAGACATTCCTCTAGGTGCGCGCGACCTGCTGCGACGGTCCGAGACGGCATGGCCTCGACGAAAGGGTACTTCTTCGCGGGCTTCGATCGCCGGGCCATCTATGGTGGGGGAGAACATGTCTGTACGGCCCTAAACGGAGAAAAGAGACGAGAGTGGCCTTTGGGTTGTCACAGATTGGTGTTGATCGACTGTACTGAAATTGCAGCTGCTGTGAAGAAATGTGTGGAAACAACTCAACGTGTAGCGGAGGGGAGGGCAGAGTCGACTGGAAAGGAACGCCACGACGGAGGTGACGCGTGGGATGGTCACGGTGGCAGGAAGCGGCCTGATGCAACCTTCGAAATGTTGCCAGCAGCAGTTTTGGAGGAATGGCTCGGTTGTGGTGAGACAGCTGTTCAACAGGTGGAGGGGAGGCGCGTGGGGGGAAATGGAAGGATGCAGAAAGCCGGGTGCATTCCGCGGGGAGACGCATGAATGAACCATACCGCCCAGGATGTTCCCGAGGGCCGTGGAGCAGTGACTTCTGTGAGGAGCAGATGCGGCTGTGCGGTGCACGCTAACTGTAACAGTAACATACGCACCAACCTTCATCAACTGTTCGCCAAAACATATTTTCCTCGCCGCGTCCTGCAGTGGTTCCACATGATCGCCAACGCAATCTGCAAGGCTGGGATTTCACGAAATCCCAGCCGTTGCGGCTGTATCTTTTGATTCGACAGCAACGAACGAACACACAAAATATCAGACGGTGCTGAATCACTCTGACCCGTTTATCCGCGTCTTCTGATGGAAATGCAGAATCGTGACTAAATCTCAAACTACATCGACTAAGTTCCTCCCTTCCTATATCCACCGAGAAAGCATCAAACCAGGGTTTTGAATGTGTGGCTGAAATGTCTAAAGGGCATGAACTACGAATTATCAATGTACAAATCAACAGCTTGGAGAATTCAGATCCATCCCCTGTATCCGAATATCCCCCATCCAACTTTTTTTCCAACCAGTTTTTTGTATGGCTGTATCATTACATTGCAGCTCTTTATATAGATTTTCCTCTCACATCGGGGGCATCTTGGAGATGGCGCAGCACAGTATAGCGCGGTTTGGCTGAGAAACCTGACCTTCCCCATGTAAGCCGTAACGTTATCTCCCTGCGATCACAGCCACGTCAGGCCACACATCCAACCGTGACTTATGACGAATGACGTCACCACGAGAAACGTTAGCTGACACGGCACAGCATGCCGGCCAGCCGCTACTGCTGGCGTCTACTCTCGCCGCGTTAGGAGAGCTCGGCGTGTCGTCCGTCTTGGGGGGGCTTCTCACCCGCTCCCCGGCGAAAGGCTGCGCCGGTGCTGTCCGCGGAGATGGCCTTGCCGCTGAATGGGCGGAGCGGAAGGCTTTGTGGGAGGAAGGGGAAGATAAGAGCGGGGATGGGGAGGAACAGCTGCTCGCGCACCAGGCGAGGGGTGGCCAGCGGGAAGGGCAGGCGCGCGGAAGAGAGGAGGGGCTGGCGGAGCGGAAACCGCCAGTTTTCCGCGTCGCTCCACTGAGGGGGCTGGCGCCAGCGCAGTTGCGCGGGGATGGGGGGAGGCGGATGCAGGCTGGCGGAGCGAGAGAGAAGGGGCGGTGGACGGCAGAGAGGGCGAGCGAGGAGGAGAGTGTAGTGGCCGTGGGGGAGGAGGGGCTGAGACGACTGGGCATGTGCGGGGGGGACATGGTGAGATGGATGGGGGTGGCATGGTGAGATGGATGGGGGTGGCATGGTGAGATGGATGGGGGTGGCATGATGGGGGTGGCATGGTGGGGGTGGCATGATGGGGGTGGCATGATGGGGATGGCATGATGGGGGTGGCATGATGGGGGTGGCATGATGGGGGGGACAGGGGAGAGGAATGGGAGAAGGAGAAGGGGCGTTAGCAGGGCCAGCCAGGGTGCTGTATCTGGTGTCAACAATCGCAGGTGGGTACTTGGTTTCTTACCTCTATCTTTACTTCCTCGTTGTCAACCCTCATCTCGAACCCCCTTGTTCTCACGCCTCTCCTCACCCCCCTCGCGCCCCCGCACCCCTTCAGGTGGCAGTGGCGCTGCTGCCGCCCGACCCAGGCGCCAGAGCCGCCAGAGACGCACGAGACAGCAGAGTCATGCCGGCACGGCTGCTGCTGTGGCGAGGGGGGGTGCGGGGGAAGGGGTGGGGAGGAAGGGGATACCGCAGCAGCAGCAGCAGCTGTAGTGGCAGGGGACGAGCGGGTGGGACTGCTTGGTTGTCGCCCCTGCTGGGTTTCAACCTGGGGCTGCCAGGGGGGATCATGGGGGATGGGGAGGGCAGTGCGGGCGAGGAGGAGGAGGAGGAGGAGGATGAGGAGGAGAGTGAGGAGGAGGAGGAGGAAGAAGAGGAGGAGAGGAGCAGGGGGCGAGAGTCAGGGCATGCAGCATGGGGTGGCGTCCGTGTGCTCATTCTGCCCCTGCCTGCGACGCCCCCACCCGTGCCGTCACCCATGGCAGCAGGTAGCGCCGGAGTGGGTGTGGGGAACGCGCATGTGACTGTGGGGGTGGCCACTGTGGTGCGCCTTGCCACAGTGCGCTGCCCCTCCGCCCTTCCCCCGTGGCAGTTGGTGGGGGGAAGGGGGAGGAGAGGCGGGGAAGGAGGAAGCCGGGGAGAGGGGGGAGATGTCAGTGGGTCGGTGGGGGTTGGTATGGGGAGGAGAGGGCGGGGGAAGGAAGGGCATGCATGGGCCAATAGGCATGCGCCACGTCATGGGGAGCGAGAGGGGATGCAGCATGGGGAAGAGGAAAGGGAGCACGCTGGGATGGATGGGGAGGAAGGGTGGGAGGAGGAAGTGCAAGAGGAGGAGGAGGAGAGCGAGCGGGAGAGGGAGGTGCGGCAGAGGGAGGTGGACGCGGCTCTGAGGCGGGTGGTGGTGCGGCAGCGGTACGTGGCCATGGGGGCATGCTTCTTTGTTGTGGTGGGGGCCCGGAGGAGCGTGGGCCGCATGGTGGGGGATGTGATGGGGGGGGGAGGAGAAAGGGGAGGGGGAGGCGGGGGTGCAGGAAGGGAAGAGAGTGAGGGAGGAAGGGAAGAGAGTGAGGGAGGAAGGGAAGAGAGTGAGGGAGGAACGGATGAGGAGGAAGAAGAGGACGAAGAGGAGGAGGAAGAGGAGGAGGATGAGGGGGAGGAGAGGGAGGCACGAGTGGTGTATTTCAGTGTGACGGCGGTGCACCCCCCCGGCAGCGCCCTCTACGCCATCCACCCGCGCTCCACCCACCTCATCCTCTCCGCCTCCCTGCCCTCCCCCCTGCCACCTGTCGCGCTACGGTTCGCCGGGGATCTAGCAGGGTACCCCCCGCCACCCGAGGCTGCGCGGCTGGTTCGGGTGCTGGCTCCGGCGCTGCTGCCTGCTGGGGGGGGGGGGAGGGGGGAGATGGCAGAATGGGGATGTCAGCAGGGGGAGGCATGCTCCCATCAGCGTTCAGCTGCGCCCTTCTGCTCATTGGCCCGCCAGGTGTGCGCCCATGCCATGCACTGCTGCGTGTGAAAAGCTGCTCACGTGCGCATGGGCAGGAAAAGATTGCCATGCTATGCCATGCTGTGTGTCCACTGTTTTCTCTCAACACCCCCCCACTTGCCCCGCAGGCCCTGCTGCCTTGGATCAGTCTTGTCTCCCTCCCAGCACCCCCTCCGTGATCCCAACACCCCCTCCATGATCCCCAACACCATGCGTTGGCCGGCAGACAGCGGTGTGCTTGGCATGTCAGCGCATGGGCGTGCAAGGTGGCTCTCCCTCCCACACACTGATACCCATCCACACCCCCATCAACCGCCCACCAGGAGTGGGCCGGCGCACAGCGGTGCGGCTGGCGTGCCAGCGCATGGGCGTGCACTGCGTGGAGTATAGTGGTGCTGACATCGCTGCCTCCGCCAGTGAGAGCGCGACAGCTGGGGCGCTTGAAGCAGCTTTTGAAACGGCAAGCCGGTGAGAGGCGATGAATGGCTGCTGTGCTCTAAGACAAATTTCCGTGTATGCTGGTTCTGGTACGGAGCATGGCGTCTGACAGCATGGGTGTGTTACCTCCTCTCCTTTATCATCACCCCCCGCTCTCCCCACCTCTCTCAAGCGGTCCGTTTATTTCTTGGAATCCTGGGTACAGGCTAGGCAGGCAGGAAGCAACAAGTCATGGTACGTGCATGTTGAGAGGCTCGGATCTACTCGAGCTCCCCTAGGGGCTCGGCTATGGCAAAGCAGTCACCTGGCGCCATGTCGGCGTCAGGGTTGCCCACGGGGGTGTGGGGGGCAGGGGAGGCTTCATTGACTTTGCCCAGGTAAGCCAAGGCCTGCGCCCGCTGTAGCGTCACTGACCAGCGTTGGCGAAACTGGTGGAGCAATTTCGCTGCATGATAGGAGCTTGGGTCTGCATTGAAGAGTCTCCTGGCACCTGTATCCGCGAGCAGCTTCAAAAAGGTAGGGACCTCGGCGCAAGGGCAGCCATATGTCTCGACCGCCAGTGGGAAGAAACCAACGTAGGGAGCCCGGTTTCGGTAATGGTTGATTTTCTTGTCAGCTTGCTCCCGGGCCATGTATCCTCGTCCTTTCCGTGCGTCCGGGTCCCGGCTGCTGATGGGGTCTGTGACGGTGACGTCACAGATCCAGACGGCTCCGGAGCTGCGGTCGCGGAGTGTGAGGTCGGCCTTGTGGCCGTCCACGGGGCTGTAGATGGTGGTCTCCTTGGTGACTATGAAGTCAGCGTCCCGGGCCATCCGTATGCTCTCATCCCGCAGGGCGTTATGGGTGTCTGTCCGTCCGTGTCCCGTGCCACACCGAAACAGGTGGTTGGGTAGCCTTGTGTCGAGGATTTCGAATTCCTCGGTGCAGTTGCAGGTGCGGGGGGCTGGGAACGGAAGGCCGAGGCGGAAGGCCAGGGCAATGGCGAAGTGTGGAGCCTCGAGGCGGAGGGATGGGAAGATGGGGATGGCGTGGAGCCAATCTCCTGCTCCATATCCAGCCAGGGAGAAAAGTCGTTGTGTGTGCCCGGAGTGGGGGTTTGGGTCCATTGTCCGTGAGGCCGCCACCTGGTCGGCGTATCGCACGGCCTGGACTTCGAGGGATAGACGATGTTGGAGAGGGGAGCCTGAGGGTTCCCTCCGCTAGGAGTGCAGGAGCTCCAGGGCCCGTGGGGGCATCGCCGTTTCACATTTCGCTAGCCAGGTATGCAAGTGAGTGGGGCTGGTGAAGGGAGGCATGAGGTGCCGGACAGAGTCGGCTAGGGGCCCTCTTGACGCTGCTGGGAGGGCAGCCAGGAGGCCCTGGGCTTGGGTGACGCTGGTGAGGAAGGCTGGGTGCCCTTCAATTGCTGGGTCGGTGAGCCCCAGCCCTCCGAGAGAGGGAGGGAGGGACGCTTGGGCCCAGGTACGCGCTCGCTCCAACTCGCCTCGTGGTGGTTGGAGGTTGCAGGCGCGCAGTAGAGTATGGTAGAGTGCCCTGCCCCACTCAGATCAGACCTCCAGGGGTAGGAAGTCAAGGGGGGTGGTGCGGGTTAGGTATGAGACGCGCCGAGATACGCAGCGTGTGAGGAGGAGGGATGAGGACTGAGGGTCCATCGTGGCCAGTGTGGCGAGGGGTTCGGCTAGCAGGGCTAGGTGGGTGCGAAGGAAGGCGGCTGTACCTTCTGGCGTGCCTATAAAGCTGCCAAGCACGCGGACCCTGTCTGTGTTGAAGGGTATGTCCGGGGGGAGGCGGGTAGACGCAGGGCGCTCGGCTGACCATGCCGCGCATTTCGCGGGGTTGTGGGAGAGACCGATGCGGTCCATGGCGGATGTGAAGTCGAGGAACGCCGAGGTGCAGGCATCCGGATCGCCGACGAAGGTCACGTCGTCTGCGTAAGCAAGACAGAGGACCTCGGGGTGGGCCGCGGCGGTGGCCTGGAGCGCTGGGTGGATGGCAGCTGCGAAAAGGAGGGGGCCCATGGGGTCCCCTTGGCGGACTCCGCGTGCGCTCAGTAAGGGTGGGCTGTCAAGCTCTGCCTCAAGATAAAGCAGAGATGGCGCTCCATAAGAGAACTGTATAAATGGAAGGAGTGGGCGCAGGGGCGAGGTGTTGATGGCGTGGATGATGGCCCCGCGGTCAACGCTGTTAAACGCGTTTGTGAGGTCGACTTGTAGGATCAGTGAGCTCGGGCGTGCGGAGGTAAAACCCCTGGTGGCGTGGATGATGGTTTCTCCGCCGCTTCTGATGGCTACCCCGTATTGGTGTGGTAGGAAGTAGTCTTGCGCCGGTTGCGTTGAGGAGATTAGCGCGGATTTTGCCGCTAGGCGGTGGAGACACTCGCCTATAGCGATGGGGCGGGTACCCCCATCTGGTTTGGTAAGGGCCAGGAGGCGAGAAGAAGTCACGAGCTGGCTGACTTCGTGTGGCAGGTTACCCGCGATTAGCCGCTGGACGAGCTCGTGAAGGTGTTTGGCGACTGAGGGGTTGGATAGCGAGGCGTCGCGAAGGTGCTCGAAGGTCATTCCCGAGGGCCCCACCCCAACCCCATTTTCGCAGCGGGAGAGTAGCCTCGCGAATTCAGCGAAGTCGATTGTCGGCGGTCTGCAGTTTTCATCTAGCTGTGGCCAGGTGAGGTCTTCGACAAGCGGAGGGGGGTGTTTTGACTTCAGCGCATCCAGGACCGTGCGGGTGGACTCGCTGACTGGGGTCGAAGTCAACGCGAGCAGTGCTCGTCGCAAACTGCCTCGTCGTACCAAACCTTCGGCTCGGGATATTTTCCCAAGGGTGTCAGGTACGTGGGGGGGTGGGGGTGGTAGGGTGACAGCGGAAGTGGCTGCTTGGTACAGTGTGTCCCATTGGCTCGCGAGAAATTGTCGAAGGCGTTTTTCCGCCGCGGGCCAGTCAGGACGTCTCGGTGAAGGTAGGCGAAGGGTGAGGCGCGGGAGGTAAAGTAACAGGATCCAACCCTCGATGGAGGTTGGATGTTGGGCGAGGAAAAGGAGGGGTGTCATTAGGGCGAGCGCGAAAAGTTGACGGATTTGGGGGGGTAACCGGCGGGAGAGAGGGGGTTGGCGACTGTCGCAGAGAGCTGCGATGTTCCAATTTGCGATCTCGGCGAATCAGGAGGTGTCATTCGCCAGTTCTTCCGGGGACAGCTGCGGAGCCGCCTGGGGATGGGTGTCCAGCGGTGCCCAAGTATTACGCATGTGGCTGGGCCCTCGTCCCCTAGATCTGGGGGTTGGGCCAGCTTCTCTTCCTCCAGCGCGCCTGTTCGTCTCGACGTCTTCCTCTTCACTGGACGACTAAGTCGTGGATTCGTCTTGCTCCCCAGGTATATAAGTACCGTCTACCCGTTCCTCCTCACCAGTTGTTCCTTGCAGTTCCGCAGCTCTTTAAGCCCTGTTCGCCGCCTGCTGGAAACCGTTCAGCGGTCCTCCGTCTGAGGACAAATCGCCGTGCCTAGCTGTCCCGCGACCGCGCCCTCCGACCGCCCGCGTATTGAGTCCACTGCGCCCTCCTCCTGGATTTCCTCTCGGGGCTACCCCAGCCGCTGTCCGTTGTTCGTGCCGAGTCGTGGGGGGTGCCGAGTGCGGCGCGCCACGTCGGGATGGACCGGCCGACGGGGTCCGAGCTGGGCCGCCCCTTGCGTGAGCGCTCTGCCGATTTGGAGAGCACCGGGGATAGTGTGTCCCCCCAAGGTCAGGCGAGTCCTCCGGCCCGGTCAAACCGTGATTGGGAGCGCGGGCTCCTTGTCCCCTCGACTGCTCGTCAGCAGACTCCCGAGCGGATGCGTGGGCGATCGCGGAGTCGGCCATCCGTGCCCCAGGGGCGCGAGGAGAAGTCTCCCGAGCGCGTCTTGGAGGCAGGTCGTGGACCTGTGATGCATGGCGAGGTGCATCCGCTGCCGCACCAGCAACATCCCTCTCGCCGTGGGACGCCCCAGCGCCGCCCACAGGCAGAGCCGGTGCAACAGCGTCGGACTCCGCAGGCGCCTCGCGGGCGTTCGGGCCAGCGCGTCGGCTGGAGGGCTGGCGGGGGGAGTAACCGCGGATCGGCAGCGGAGAGGCGCCTGGGGCGGGCTGCCGCGACTCTCGAGGGCTTGGTCCGCGCTGTCGCCCAGCCCCAGCAGGCTGTAGCGTATTCCCCGCAGCTTCTGTCGTCCCAGCAGTACCAGCAGGCGCCCCAGCAGCAGGCGCGTTTCCCGCCGCTACAGGTGCCGGCGCAGGTGTTCCCCTCCCGTGCTGTGGTGTCCCCCTTGCTCCCCGACAGCCAGCACCTCGTGCCGCCCCTTCTGTCTGCACCTCCACCGCCAGTCTTCCCCCCCCACCTCAGCACCTCAGCTAAACCCCTAAACCCACCTCTCTCTCTCTCTCTCCCCCCCCCACCTCAGCTACTCCCCCGCAGTGCTGCTGCTGCGCCGCTTCTCCGCCCTCCTCAGAGCGTCCGACACCCAGGACGCCTCCTCCGCCTCCTTGCTGCCGCTGCTCTCCCACTCGCTGCGCGCCTGCATCCGTGCTTTCTCTCGCCCCCACGCTGCATCGTCCGCCTCCTCACCAACTTCAAGTGAAGCTGTAGCAGCAGCACGAGCAGCAGGGGGAGGGGGAGGGGGAGCGGCGGCGGTGGTGGTGGTGGCGTGTGTGGAGGAGGGCGAGGCGGAGGGCATGGGCGTGGCGGTGAGGCGCTGCTTCACCCACGAGCTCTCAGTGGCGCCGCCGGATGAACACCAGAGACAGCGCCTGCTCAGGTTCTACCTTAAGGCGAGTCAACAGACACCACCTGCTAAACCTAGAAAATCAAATGCCCCCCCCCCTGTTTTTTCTCTTGCTCCTTCACGTGCCAACCCCCGTTTTCCCCTCCCTCCCTCTCTCCCCCCCACCCTGCCCCGTTTCTCCGCCCCACCCATCGCCTGCCCCCAGCGCCCTCCCCCCTCCGCTGCAACACACGAGGAGGAGGATTTGACAGTGACTATAGCGAGGGAGACAGCTGGTCTGCTGCCCAGGGACCTGCGGGCTCTGGCTGCCGACGCTGCTGCCGCCGCCATCAAGCGCGGGCTGCCTCATGGGAAGGCAGGTGCAGCTGCTGCCATGCAGCAAACACTGGGCTGTGGGGGCATGGCAAGGGAGGGGGGTGTGGGGGTTGGCAGCGGTGCAGAGCGGAGCAGCGGCGGCGGGGAGGAGGGCAAGGCCGAGGGGGAAGAGGGGAGGGCGGAGGGAGGGCGTGGCAGGGGGGCGGAGGAGGCCAGCAGAGGGGCTGAACTGGCGGTGGGGCGGGACGACATGGAGGACGCGATGCGCCGGGTGAAGCGGCGTGTGGCGACGGTGATCGGCACACCCAAGGTGCCCAACGTGCGGTGGGACGACATTGGCGGGCTGGAGGACGTCAAGGCCGCCATCCTGGACACCATCCAGGTGAGATTGCTGGGTGCTTCAGGTTCAGGTGTATTTACAGCATTCAGCTGGCTGCATAAGTGTGTGGAAGACATCACACTTCACACTCTGCTACATTGCTCTCATGAGGCAAGCAGCCGAGGCACTAGCTGACTGGCAGGCTTAGATTGGATTGCCTGCTGCCACATCCCCCCCGGATTGCCTGCTGCCACATCCCCCCCGGATTGGCGCCCCCGTCTGACTTGGTGTCCTTCACATCCCCCCCCCCTCCCCCCGCCAGCTGCCCCTGCGCCACCGCCATCTGTTCGCCTCTGGCCTGCGCCAGCGATCCGGTGTGCTGCTGTACGGCCCGCCAGGCACCGGCAAGGTGAGGAGGCGAGGGGGGGAGAGGGGAGAGAGAAGGTGCGAGTGTGGGGATGGATGTGGATGGCGGCATGTGTAGTGTGGGGATGGATGTGGATGAAGGCATGTGTAGTGTGGGCACGGTCTTGCCATGTGAGCTCGCTGGTGTCATGCCATTTGTTGAAGGATCTTGCACCATTCACAACGCGCACGATGCGTGTGTGTCACATGTGATACTGGCTGCAATGGGGATGCAATGCGACATGTCACCGCATGGCCCTGTACCGCTAGATCAGACCCTCCTGCCCAAGGTGGTGTCCACAGGATGCTGTTTCCAACCTCCTCAGCGTGAAAGGCCCTGGGCCTTTCCTCAGCGTGCTACTTCAAGTTCATACCATGTTCAAGTTCATACCATGTTCAAGTTCATACCATGTTCAAGTTCATACCATGTTCAAGTTCATACCATGTTCAAGTGCATACCATGTTCAAGTTCATACCATGTTCAAGTTCATACCATGTTCAAGTTTATACCATGTTCAAGTTCATATCATGTTCAAGTTCATACCATGTTCAAGTTCATACCATGTTCAAGTTCATACCATGTTCAAGTTCATACCATGTTCAAGTTCATACCATGTTCAAGTTCATATCATGTTCACCGCGGATGCACGCGTGGTGATGCCTGAGAATGCACTGCTGCCTGCCACCCTCGCGCCCGTGCAACCATTCCCGCTCCCACGCCCCTCCCCACCAGACGCTGCTGGCCAAGGCGGTGGCGACGGAGTGCTCCCTCAACTTCCTCAGCGTGAAGGGGCCCGAGCTCATCAACATGTACATCGGCGAGTCGGAGCGCAACGTGCGAGAGATATTCGCCAAGGCCAGGGCGGCGCGGCCGTGCGTGGTGTTCTTTGACGAGCTCGACGCGCTCGCCCCGGCCAGAGGGGCGGCTGGGGACTCGGGGGGCGTCATGGACCGCGTTGTCTCTCAGGTGGGTCTCTGCTGGCTCTCAGGTGGGTGTCTGCTGGCTCTCAGGTGAGTCTCTGTTGGCTCTCAGGTGGGTCGCTGCTGCCTCTTAGGTGGGTTGTTCTTGTCTGAGGTGAAATCAGTCAAGAAGGGATGTTTTGTTCGCATCGTAATGTGGTTTCACATTACCTTCGGTACTACCCTCTCACCTTTCTTCCCTCTCCCTCGTTGCCCCTTGTTGCCCCTTGTTGCCCCTTGTTGCCCCTTGTTGCCCCTTGTTGCCCAACCACCCCATCATGCCAGCTGCTTGCTGAGGTGGACGGCATAGGATCCACGTCAGCATCAGATCTGTTCCTGGTGGGCGCCAGCAACCGCCCTGACCTGATAGACCCGGCGCTGCTGCGGCCGGGACGCTTTGACAAGCTGCTGTATGTGGGCGCGGGCAGCACCAGCGAGCACCGGTGCAGGTACCACGGCCGTGATGGGGATGATAGGGATGCTGATGCTGGGGTTGCCGCAGCAAGGGAACAGGGAGGGACAGAGCAGCAGTAGTTTGTGTGGCTGTAAGTGTGCAGCCGACGCCTTGAGCGCCCTCACACCTGGCAGTCTCTTTCTGCCCATTACTTCTCCTCCACCCATCCCTGCCCCTCTCGCCTCTCCAGGGTGCTGCAGGCGTTGACTCGTCGCTTCCACCTGTCGCCCAGTGTGTCGCTGCCACGTGTCGCTGAGCGCTGCCCTGACACGCTCACAGGGGCGGACCTTTATGCTCTCGCAGCAGATGCGTGGCTCTGTGCCGCCAAGCGCAAGGTAAAAGGGGGAAGAGCAGAGGGAGGAGTGAGGTTGAGATGGGGTTGAGCGGGAGGGGGAAAAGAAGGGACCTAGAGGAGGGTGGCAGACATCATCATCTGCTCAGTATGCTCTCTCACGACTCACTATTTTCCTGTGCCAGGTGGCAGCGGGCCGAAGGTCAGAACCGTCTGCTGAAGGTTCCAACAGCCAAGGCGTGGGAAGTGAAAAGGAGGGTGGGGAAGGAGACGAGGTGGTGGTGGTGGAACAAGCCGACTTGTTCAAGGTAGGTTGGCACTGCTCATGTCTCTCCTCCTGTATCCTTGTGCTATTCAACTCTCCTCCTCCGCGCCCACCTCTCTATCTCATCCTCCAATGGGTTCCATCAAACCCCCGTTTTGCCATTCTTATCTCCACTTGTACGTTTTTCGGCAGGCCTTGTCACAACTGACCCCCTCGTTATCAGCATCAGAGCTGCATCGCTACGAGGCTTTGCGAGAGCAGTTCCAGCCTGCAGGGCGAAGCCGTGTAGCTGCCTGATGGCTGATGGCTGATGGCGCGTCTGACTGAAGCGTTCATTGATGTCTTGATTAGCGCGGATCAGTGGGTTGTCACGGTTCTGAAGCCCTCCCTACCGTGCTGAGACCAGGTAATTAGCACCAAGTGATTTCGAGAGTGTGTCGCCATTTTTGTAGGTTGTATATATCTTTTGAGGTTGGATGACAAGGTGTAGTTCTTCGGCTTTTTGTCACGTCAAGTGCATTTCTATCGAGGTCCTGCAAGATCATCCCCAGTTTGACTTCTCGAGACTATCTGGGATTCTGGGCCTTTCGGCTCATGTTTGTCCTCCACACCCGAATTTCCACATGAGCTCTTCCTTGCAACAAGAATCCCTCTCCTTCTGAGGAGGAGGCAGTGGTCGTTGGAGATCCTCCAACCACCACTGCTTCGCTCTCTGACCAACCAACACAGCAGAGCCATCAAGCCAAACCAACCTGACGCTTTGTTTCAGGCGCCTTACAACCAGCGTGCATGTCCTCTTCGTTTTCACTTGCACTATCTTGATGCATTTTGAAGGGTGTGAGGCGGGTAGAGTAACCCAAGCCACCTGATGTACCGAACGGCTTCCGTTTGAGTGTGTTTCCTGGCGTAAATCACGCCAACGGTTTTTTTTTTTTCTTACGAAATTCGCAGTCACTGGACACTTCTAGCGCGCTGAAATGGCATGCGAATACCACATCAGCGCAATGGCCGAGCGAAACGCCACTTCTTCGCGAAGACTCTCGCTGCTTTACCTCGTCGCGCTTCTCGTTGCGCTTCTAAACATCTCGGGCGATTCCATCTTTGCGAATGCAAGCGCGTCGGGGAATGATGGTTAGTCCTTACTCGTCCTGCGCCACGCTTGTGTATCACCCTATGGCATATTCGTTTCAGGATGCTTTCATGCTGCATCCTAGAGCCTTCAAGGATGAAGGATGACTGTAGGGCTGCTGGTTGCAAAGCTCGTGAATGCGGCGTCGGAATGTCGCGACCAGGAACCGTTGCTCACCGCATTGCGCCGGGAAAGGGTTATCAGTCGCAGCGTAGGGTGACAGAGATCCACGGACATTCCAGGCCGTTGCAAATGGATGTGAGCCGCCTGAGCCACGTGGCATCAAGTGTACGCTCGTAGCAGTGCAGCTAGACCTGGCAACCAATGCGATATTTGCGCTGTCTTGTTCAACCATCTAGCGCATTTGATCTCTCCCTTATCCTCCTGCCTTTCTCTCCCCCCCTCCCCTCCCCTCTCCCCCCCCCTCCCCCCCTGCGCTGCAGTGCGCGCGCTGCTGGACGTGCGCGAGGCGATCAAGGAGGCGAACCCGAGCGCGCTGGAGTCGTGGTCGGAGTTCACGGACCCCTGCGGGGGGGGCTGGGAGGGCAAGTTCCTCTGCGACAACGATGGCCACGTCACCTTCATGTGAGCCACGTCACCTTCATGTGAGCGCGACGTGGGACTGATCACGTGGATTGATTCCGTGGATTCTACTCTTCTGCTCTGGAGTTGGCTGCTGTCTTCCTGACCCCCCCAAACCCACGGCCCGCACCTATCGAGTGTTTTCGCTTACTCACTGCCCTCGTTGCCTCTTCCCACTCCCCGCCCTCTCTTATCCGGATCCTCCACGGAACCCACCGCCCGCATTGCCTCTCGTCGCCCCACCGCCGCAGGTCGCTCCTCCAGCTGAACCTGCAGGGCCCCATCCCCGGCGTGCAGCTCGCCACGCTCACCTCGCTCAACCACATGTACGTCCTCCGCCTGTCCGCCTGTCTGCTCAACCACATGTACATCCTCCGCCTGTCCGCCTGTCTGCTCAACCACATGTACGTCCTCCGCCTGTCCGCCTGTCTGCTCAACCACATGTACGTCCTCCGCCTGTCCGCCTGTCTGCTCAACCACATGTACGTCCTCCGCCTGTCCGCCTGTCTGCTCAACCACATGTACGTCCTCCGCCTGTCCGCCTGTCTGCTCAACCACATGTACGTCCTCCGCCTGTCCGCCTGTCTGCTCAACCACATGTACGTCCTCCGCCTGTCCGCCTGTCTGCTCAACCACATGTACGTCCTCCGCCTGTCCGCCTGTCTGCTCAACCACATGTACATCCTCCGCCTGTCCGCCTGTCTGCTCAACCACATGTACGTCCTCCGCCTGTCCGCCTGTCTGCTCAACCACATGTACATCCTCCGCCTGTCCGCCTGTCTGCTCAACCACATGTACGTGCCGCCTGCCACCTGCACACCCACATGCACGTCCTCTCCGCCTGTCGCGATAATGCACGCCGCCCACTGCCATGGGAACCACACCGCCCTGCCCGTGAAAGCACCTGGACTCACTCCGATGCTCGTCTCATGACAAGGTTATAAGAAACTCACGAGACGCGTTAAGACGGATAAATGAGCACAGAACGCTCCAAATTCCCCTGCGGAGTGCAGAGAAGTCTGTTGAGGTGCTGGGCTCGCTGGCCATGGTCAGACCCTCCCCGCCTCTCCTCCTCCACCCCGCCATGACCACACGCCGTTCCTCTCACGCCCCCTCCCACTCTCATGCCGCTCACCCCCCCTTCCCCTTCCCCTCCCCCTCCCCCCTCCCCCCCCCCGTCCCCCTCCCCCTGTCAGCGACCTGGGGTCGAACTCGTTCACGGGCACCATTCCCGAGCAGCTGCTGCGACTCACCTCGCTGCTGCACCTGTGAGTGCCGCTCAAGGGGTCACCTGAGAGCGGCGCTAGTCACCTGAGAGTGGCGCTAGTTACCTGAGAGTGGCGCTAGTCACCTGAGAGCGGCGCTAGTCACCTGAGAGTGGCGCTAGTCACCTGAGAGTGGCGCTAGTCACCTGAGAGTGGCGCTAGTCACCTGAGAGTGGCGCTAGTCACCTGAGAGTGGCGCTAGTCACCTGAGAGTGGCGCTAGTCACCTGAGAGTGGCGCTAGTCACCTGAGAGGGGCGCTAGTCACCTAAGAGTGGCGCTAGTCACCTGAGGGAGGCGTCAACGCGGTCACTCGCGAGGCAAATGAGTGAGCATGGCGCACATTCAGAACCTTCACTCCATTTCCATGCCCTCACTCCCTTCCCACCCATGCCAACCCATGCCCTCACCCCCACCCCCCCGCCCAACACCCCCGCCCTCCCTCTTGTGGCAGGTCGCTGTCGTACAACAAGTTGTACCATACAATCCCATTCCATCCCCTCTCCCCCCCCCTCCTCTCCCCCCTTCCCCCCCCGGCAGGTCGCTGTCGTACAACAAGCTGAGCGGGTCGCTGCCAGGCGGGCTGAGCCAGCTGAAGGGGCTGCAGCAACTGTGAGGCGCGGAGGAGGGGGGAGGGAGCAGGGGCGAGGAGGGCGGGCGAGCAGGGGATTTTGGGGGATTAGGCTTATGTGGAGGTGTGCAGTGCACGCGAATGGCAGCACAGCGAGGGCATGGAAGATTGCACATCGAACATATCACCTGTTAATTGAGACACTCTGTCTTGTGTGTGTGTGTGTGTGTGTGTGTGTGTGTGTGTGTGTGTGTGTATGTGTGTGTGTTTCTGTGTGTGTGTGTGTTTGTGTGTGTGTCTGTGTGCGTGTGTCTGTGCGTGTCTGTGTGTGTCCATGTGTGTGTGTGTGTGTGTGTGTGTGTGTGTGTCTGTGTGTGTGTGTGTGTGTGCATATGTGCTTGCATGCACACAGGCGGCTGGAGGGCAACCAGCTATCGGGAACCCTGCCGGCGTCACTCTCCTCCCTCTCCAACCTCACGCTCCTGTCAGCCCTACTTTCCCTTGCCATGCCATGCCATACCGTGCCATGCCATACCATGTCCTGCCATGCCATACCGTGTCATGCCATACCGTGCCATGCCATACCAGGCCATGCCCTACCATGTCCTGCCATGCCATGCCATGCCATGCCATGGGTGATGCAACCCCTCCACTGCTGCTCGAACCATGGCCGCCCGTGTTGACTCTGCCTCTCATCACCCTCTCATCTGCCCCTCCCATTCTGCCCCCCCATCCTCCCATTCTGCCCCCCCATCCTCCCTGGCTGCACGTGGCAGCAACCTGTGCACAAATCAAATCACGGGGCCCATCCCTTCCAACTGGAGCGGAATGACGCAGATGGTCAATCTGTGAGTGCATGCATTACTATGATGTCAATGTAAACTACCCCAACACTGCTACTTAGGGTCAAAGTATGTGTAAAGAATGCAACCAAACTTGTGTATGTCTGGGTTTCTGTCCCGTTTCGGCATCCCATCCTGTCCTTCACTCGCTGGCCTCCTTCTCTTTGTCAAATGTGTCGTCCCACAGTCTCTTCTTACCTCTCTCCCCCCCTCCCCGTCCTCAGCCGGCTCTCCTCCAACCAGCTCTCAGGGGACGTTCCTTCCTGGCTCGGCTCCTGGCGCAGCCTTGTGGTGCTGTGAGTCCGCTGTGCCTTGTGGTGCTGTGAGTCCGCTGTGCCTTGTGGTGCTGTGAGTCCGCTGTGCCTTGTGGTGCTGTGAGTCCGCTGTGCCTTGTGGTGCTGTCAGTCCGCTGTGCCTTGTGGTGCTGTGAGTCCGCTGTGCCTTGCCATGCTTTCAGTGTGCTCTGCTGTCTCGTGAGTGTGTCGCTCTCATGCATAGAACTGCATGTGCTCGCCTGTGAGTCTTCTGGGCTCGCCGGTAAGTCTGCTGCGCTCGCCTGTGAGTCTTCTGGGCTCGCCGGTAAGTCTGCTGCGCTCGCCTGTGAGTCTGCTGTGCTCGCTTGTGAGTCTGCTGTGCTCGCCTGTGAGTCTGCTGTGCTCGCCTGTGAGTCTGCTGTGCTCGCCTGTGAGTCTGCTGTGCTCGCCTGTGAGTCTGCTGTGCTCGCCTGTGAGTCTGCTGTGCTCGCCTGTGAGTCTGCTGTGCTCGCCTGTGAGTCTGCTGTGCTCGCCTGTGAGTCTGCTGTGCTCGCCTGTGAGTCTGCTGTGCTCGCCTGTGAGTCTGCTGTGCTCGCCTGTGAGTCTGCTGTGCTCGCCTGTGAGTCTGCTGCGCTCGCCTGTGAGTCTGCTGCGCTCGCCTGTGACTGTGCTCTGCTGTCCTTCACGTGCGCTCTCACTGCACTGCATTGCACTGCCATAATCCCATGTTGCCCCCCTCGCCCTCCCTCTCTCAGCGGCCTGTACAGCAACAAGCTCAGTGGCTCCATCCCTCAGGACCTCGCCCAAGCCACCACCCTCGTCTCTCTGTGAGCATTCCCCTCGTCTGCCTGTGAGCACCCTCGTCTGCCTGTGAGCACCCTCGTCTGCCTGTGAGCACCCTCGTCTGCCGGTGAGTTTTCTTCTTCGTTTCCTCCTCGGCGCCCTTGCGTCTTGTCAGTATTCGTCCTAGTGTTAGCCATGATAGAAGGGAGCAGCAATGTAATCGAAACTTTTAGCAAAAAGATTGACAGTGAAATACACAAGTTGCCCAACTAATAGCCGAGATCTCAGAAAACTGAACTCAGTTCCGATTCAAAAGAATAAAGCAAACATGTTTCGACGTCTAAGGTAAAGAAGACCCCAGAACAACTTCATCAGTGCAGAATGGAACTATGCAAGTGAGTAAGAGAAGCTCATAAGCAAGAAACCCCTTGACAGTACCAAAATCTAGGCATGTAACAACCAAGGCTGAAATCTGGGCACCCAATCCTGAACACCCTGGAAAATTCCTGGAGTCAAGTCTTCAGTCCTCGAGGTGATGTCGTGTAAATGTCACAGTTCGCCAACTGGTAGCTTCGGGAGCCTCGCGCGCACAAGTAACTTTTGAATGTTACGCCCAGCCTTCCATGCAACAAAAATCCTCTGTATAAAAACCGCGTGATAGGAGTCTAGTTTTGAGGCGCCTCAAAACTAGTCTTCTTTTGAGGCGCCTCAAAACTAGACTCCTATCACGCGGTTTTGAGGCGCCTCAAAACTAGTCTTCTTTTCCTCCTCGGCGCCCTTGCGTGTTGTCAGTATTCGTCCTTCCCTATTGCTACCTTCACTCTCTGCCAATGCCCTCGCCTCCCTGTCAACCCCTCCCTTATCCGCCTCCTTGCCACTGCGGCCAAGCACCTACCCGCCCCTCACCCCTGTCCTTTCCTCCTTGCTTCCCTCCCCTGTGCGCCCCCCAGCGCGCTCGACGTGAACGAGCTGCATGGGTCGCTGCCAGACGCCTTCAGCCGCCTCACCAACCTCAAAGAATTGTCAGTGCGCCCGTGCTCGGTGCATGTGGCTGGTTGGTTTCCTCTCAACCAGCCTCAAGGAGATGTGAGTGCGCCCGTGCAGTATTCGTGCGCATGCCTGTGATGCCTGGTTCACGTGCGTGGGTGGTTGGTTGCTTGCTTCTCAACCGCGTTGCTTCCAGCCATCTTGCTGCACTCCCTTCATTCGCCCCTTTCTTGCGTTGCGCCTCCCGTCTCTGTCGCCCTCCTTCTCTCTACAGCCATGCCCTCTTATCCATGCATGCTGTGTTCTTCATGCACTCTCAGTCCTTTCAGCTCCGTGCTGTTTCCATGTGTCTGTGTGCGCTTGCCTGGCTGGCAGGTACATGGCGGGCAACAAGCTAGAGGGCAGCATCCCTGCGTCCTACAGCGCACTCACGCAGCTCAGGTTCATGTGAGTTCAATGCTCACAGATATGACAGCACTGCCAAGTTGTGAGCCTCGAGTCTCGCACATACGGGGGGCAAGCTCTGCAAAGTCAACCCTTCGCGAGAGCACGGCCTTTGCGAGGTTGGCCTGCACAATAATGACTGCTCAAGCTACTCGCACTGCACAAGGCATTCGCATCTGGATCCGCATCTCGCATGACTGGCCTTCTGTGTTCCCTTTATTTCCTCCACTGCTCCCGCCACCCGCCCCTTTCCCCTGCGCCATGTGCAGTGATGTGAGCTACAACGCTCGTCTGGGCGGCACCATTCCCGCCTTCCTTGGTGACTTTGAGAAGCTTCAGTCAATGTGAGTCAACGACAGTCACTGATTGTCAATGAGATCAAGTCACCGTTATGGCTTGTCGCAGAACGCCACTACATTAAACCACCGCTCACTACCAGCGCTCACTACCAGCGCAACACCATTGCCCGCTCATCCATCACTTCTCTTATTCGCCCTCCTCTCCTCCCCGTTCCCCCGCCCCCACTCCCCCCTCATTAACCTCTCTCCCCTCAGAGAGCGATGCAGTTCTGCTCATTCACAGGCCCGTTGCCCCCCGCGTTGAGCAACCTGGCGCACCTGCAGGAGCTGCTGCTGGACAACAACGCGCTGCAGGGAGCCATCCCCGACAGCTGGGGCACGGGGCTGGAGCGTGTGGCCGTGCTGCACCTCAACGACAACCGCCTGAGCGGCGCCATCCTGGGCACGTTCTGCCACCTGGGGTACGCCAAGGACGTCAACCTCGCGCTCAACATGCTCTCGGGCCCCATCCCCATCTGCCTCACCTCGCTGCGCCGCATCTCGTCCCTGTGAGTCCTGCCCATCCCCCTGCTGCTTCCCGCATTAATCTCTTCCCATCTCCTCCCTGAGAGCCGCATCTCCTCTCTGTGAGCCCAGCCCCGTGCCTCACACGCCCCCTCTTGCTTGCTCCCATCTGCCTGCCGTGTGTGTTTCATCTCTTGCCAACAGGTCCTTGCTCCACGCTTGCTTCATGTCTGACATGCCATCTCCTCTCTCCCCACTGCTTACCCTGTTCACACCGCATTGCCCCTCTCTTCTCTTGATTGCCATCGCACACACCCTCTCCTTTTATCCCCCTCTCGCCCTCTCTCCTCTCCACCCTGCTCCACCCAGAGTGCTCTCCTTCAACCGACTCACCGGCCCCGTGCCGCCCGTGCCAGCTGGCGTGAAGCTCTTGTTCAAGTGAGTGCCACCTGGCATCCGTATCTTTTCCCCACGTGCATGCCAGCTGGCATGAGCCTTTTTTTTTTCCAAGTGACCGCTGGCAAGCGCATAAGAGTGGTGCATAGTGGCGTCCTTTTTCATGCGATCTCTAGCATAGTAGTGTGCCCTTGTTCTGTATCTCAGTTCACCTCTCTTTCGGGCGTGCCATGTGATGACATGTGATGGCATGTGGCATGCGATGGCATGTGATGGTATGTGATGGCATGTGAGGGCATGTGATGGCATGTGATGGCATGTGATGGCATGTGATGGCATGTGATGGCATGTGATGGCCTGTGATGGCCTGTGATGGCCTGTGATGGCTGTGATGGCATGTGATGGCATGTGATGGCATGTGATGGCATGTGATGGCATGTGATGGCATGTGGTGGCAGTGTAACCGGCAACTGCCTGGATGATGTTGAGGGCCAGCCGTCACCGTGCCCCACCCCGGTGGACACCTCCCCTGCTGATGCTGCGACCAGCACAAGCAAGCAGCAGCAGCAGCAACAGCAACAGCAACAACAGCAACAGCAAGAGCAGCAGCAAGAGCAGCAGCGGTGGCAGGCACAAGGGAGCTCGTGTGAGTGATGGCGTGATGGCAGTCAGGGTTGACCCGCATGTGGTTGCACTGTGGCACATGCACATCCCACATGGCACATGCACATCCCACATGGCACATGCACACCTCATATGACAACCCTGTAACTTCACCCCTTCCTCCCCGTCTTTCTATTACCTCCTCCCCCCACTCGCCCCCCTGCACACCCCCCCAACAGCATCGGGGTTGTGGATGCGTGGCTTCCGCGCCGCGCTTCTCTCCACCACCTTTGTGCTGCTAGTGTTAGGCTGCTGACAGACATATGTGTACCATATTATATGAAGCAGTTTTGTGATGGGTTGAGTGTAGATTTGTTACCAACCTCATCCAATGTGAATTCCCCATAATCAAGCCAATCTGCCAATCTGGTTGGATCCATCGCACGCTTTGCCCTCCATCCATCCAACCCCGTTCCGTCTGCGTTGAAGGCCAAGAGCCATCTTTTCTAATCAATCATTTTCAGCTCCTTTTCTCACGCGTGCTGCTCCTCGTGCTGCTCCCAGCCACGTGGTCGTGGATGCGCGGCTTCCTCATCGCGCTCCTCTCCGCCACCTTCGTGCTGCTCCTCTTCTTCCTTAATGCGCCTCGCCAGCCGCGGCGACCCCCACATTATATCCCGCTCCCATAGCTGTCAGTAACCTAGGCATGGGCAAAATGCGATTGCGATTTAAATCGCATTGCATGCATGTGCGATGATTTAATTTGCGATGCGATTTTAAATCGCATCGCGCGATTTATTTTTTGAAAAAAAATACATCGCACATCGCGTTTTGCCTGCGATGTATTTAAAAATCGCAAGCGATGATTTATTAAATCGCGCGATGCGATATAAAATCGCATCGCATTTCTAAACGTTTTCAAAAAAAAAAAAAAACATCTGAAAACTGGAACACGTGATGGTGCGGGCATTGACGATTAAAAATACCGTTCAGAGTGGGTTTCACACAAATGCGAGCCCCGTGGTAAGGGCCCGACTTTCGTAGCTTAAAAAAAAATAGGTGCATGCGTTTCAAAAGGGGGGGGAGGGGGGGGGGGAAGGGGGGAGGGCAGCTGCCAGCTGGATGGTGTGGGGAGTATGCGGGTGCGGGAAAGGAGGGAGGGGGGTTTAAAGGGGGGGTGGGAGGAGGGAGGGAAAGGGAGGAAGCGAGCATGAAGCATAGTCATCGGTCTAGCACGTTGTCAATATAAATAAGGTAATGTCCTATCAGTTCCCGAACCCCCCAGCAGAACGGTAGCCCTCAAAGCCCTGGACCTATCTCAAGGCCCAGCTCCCACGCCTCGTCGACCGTCTCGACATCTTCGGCTGCTACCGCGCCATCAAGCCGCTGTCCAGGGTGAGAGGCAATCCATGACTTCAGCATCATGCAAGCACGGATTCGCTCCGCACCCAAGCGGTAGCGCTGCCAGTGGATGAGGTTGCGGCCCTGTGAGAACAGGCGCTCGCAGGGGGCAGAGGTGGCCGGGATGGCGAGGTAATCTCGAGCCATGCGCTGCAGCGCTGGAAGCTCCTGGTGGACCTTCCAGAACTGCAAGGGGCAGTCGTGCAGTTCCGCCAAGGGGAGTGACAGGTACTGCTGGATCTCGTCTTGCACCGATGAGATCTGTGCGGCCCGCACTGTTGCGAGGTGAGTAAACACACCCAAGTCCTCATCCTCCTCATCCTCGGACTCCCTCAGATCCACTCCCGTCCCGCTGCTGCCCCCCTCTACCGATGCTGCTGCCCCCCTCTTCTCAGCCACCTCCTCATCCACCTTTCTCTTGTACGTCTCCCACCTATCTCGCACCAACCGCTCCACCTCGCCGGCATCCAACTCCTCCACCACCCTGGTGCTCCCTTCCACCATAGGCCGCTCAAACCACACTCGCTTCAGTGCCGGGTCCAAGAATGTGGCCACGTTGAGGTCATCGGTGCTGGAGTAGAAATAAGTGAGCATTTTGTCCAACGCCTGGGACACGCACCGCGCCATCACCGACCCCGGCTTCGCCGCTGCCAGCTTGCGCTCCAGCCAGTCCAGTACCCCATTGTACTGTGGCACCACACGCGCCACAGTTGGGTACACCGACCCCTCCGCCGCCAGAATCATGTTGTTGAATGGCGCCAGGAACGCCATAAACTCCTGCAGTATCGCCCACTCATCGTCTGTAACGGCCTTCTTGTCCAGGTCGGCCTGCTCCTTCTTGTTACACCCCTGGAGTAGAGCAAACAAGGGTGTAGGGGAGGGGGAGGAGTGGGGAGCCGGGAACGGAGGGGGGGCGGGGGGCAGTCGTTCTGGCAGTGGCTTGGAGTGTGGCGGGGGGGACACGGCCGGGCGATGGAGGTAAGTAGGCGGCAGAGGGTTTGTGGTAACCAAGATACATGACATACCTCCCTAGCCACAAAGGCCCTGATTGGGCCTTTGAGCTCGATCGCTCGCCGCAGCATGGCGTGGGTGGAGCCCCAGCGCACCGGATTGTCCTGTTTCAACTTCAAGGGTTGCTTCCCAGGGAACTGGTGACGCTGCTCCTTCTCGAAGGCCGCCGTCTTGGTCACTGAGAAGCCAATGCGCGACGCGAGGTTGCGCAGCTTCTTCAGCGGCGCTTCCACCTCCGGCACCCCACCCATAGCCTCCTGCACTGCGAGGTTGTTGACATGGGCGAGGCACCTGCACCAAGCACAAGGTTTTGGAGGTTAAAACGGATGACCACGCCTTGTCGAAGGGTTAGCGCAAGTACGGCCTACTTGGTGGAACACCATAGGCAGCGAAAAATGGCAAGATGTCATACCGGACGTGAGCAGCCTTGCCGAACAAGGGGGTCGCGCGCGTCTTCCCATCTCCCTGATCCCCTGCCTTGAGAATCTCGAATGCCGCCCCGTTCACAGACGCGTTGTCGGTCGTGAGTGCCATTCACCGCTCCGCAAGCCCCCAATCCTCGATCACCTCCTCCAGGATGTTGGCGACCATCCTCGCTGTGTGGCCGGCAGGAAGAGGCCTGAAGTCCAACGTCGCCTGCTTCAGGGTCCACTGTGCATCGATGTAATGCGCAGTGACGCCCATGAAACTGATGTCGTTCTCCGCCGACCAAATGTCCGTCGTGTAGGATATCGCACCCACCCCCTTGTCAGCCGCCAACTCGGCCTTGGCCAACTCCTTGCACTGTGCCGCCTGTCGCATGATGAGACGGGCCAGCTTGTGCCGCGAAGGAATGACTCCCGGCTGAGCAAGCCGGGGGTTGGCCTCACCCATGAGGCGGCGGAACTGATGGAAGGCGAGAAAGGGTGAAACAAAGAGGTGAGGCCATGACGAGTGGATGGCGAGGAAGGGATGTACCAAACAGGATAACGTGACACAGGAACACGCCGTGGGGAGGGTGCCTGGGACTCACACTGTCTCGCTCGACTGTGCAAAACGCAGAGTCGGTGTCGACAATGTACTCGACGAGCAGCTGCTCCCAGCGCGGCAGGTCAAGTGGTTTCTGCATGTAACGCATAATCCCGCGCCCCCTCTCCCGGCCGACCGAAGGCCCGTCATCCTCCGCGTCCTCCAACTTGGGCCAGTATGCCGATCCCCACCAGGTACTGCCCCGGTCGGGAACCTCACCGTCCCCAAACCCCCCTTTTGGTAGCTGGTCCCCGACCTTCATGTCCCCCTCCCGCCTTAGCCGCATCAAGATGTCCCAATGAGCCCTGTGGTAACCAACCATGTGGGACCGCCCGTTCGACGTGGTGCGGCTCGCGAAGCTCACTAGGAAGTTGCACATCCTACACCTCCTCCAACCCGGTGCCGCCTCCTCCATGTCAAAACAAGCCGCCACACACAGTCGAGGTTCCTTCTCCACCTCCGCGGAGGAGCCCACATGACCTTGCTCAGTCGCCCCATGACCCTCACCCCGGCCACCTCCCTCCCTCCCCCCCCCCCTCCCGGCATCCATGGGAGCCCGGGCCGCACCTCGGACCCTCCCTCCTCCCCCTCCGCTCCCCTGCGCCTCGTGGAGGTATCCGGGTGACATGCCAGGCCTGCCGACATCCTCGCGCAGCAGTCCCTTCCGCCCCCTGGGCCGGCCCCGGGGGCGGCCCCTGGGCGCCCCCCCCAACCCCCCATCTCCCTCGGCAAGTTTACGTGCCTTCTTCCCCGAAGAACCGACCGAGGGAGAAGGCCCGTCATCCACCTTGCGCTTCCCCTTCTCCTCGCCGCCAGCTCCCCCATCCTCCTCCCCATCCCCCTCCTCCTCCGCCACAACGTCGTCGTCATCACCCTCCTCCTCCTCAGCCACCTCCTCATCCCCCTCCTCATAGGCAGTCCGCACCCCCTCCGCCGATGCTCGGATCCGCCAAGCATCCCCGTCCTCCGCCTCGTCCCTAACGGCCGCCTTGCCCGCAAGGGCGGGCTCTGTTGCGTCGGCCGCGCCACTCCCCTGCGTCCCAATCCCGCCGTTGCCTGGGGCCCCTCCCATGTGCCCGTCGCCTTCCACCCCTAGCGAGGTACCCGCCTTAATCCCCTGCAGCTTCGCAAATGCCGCCTCCGTCATCATCCTGCGCTGCGCGCGTGCTTCCTTGCCCGTCAATGCGTGCGCTCCTGTCTGAGCATCCGGTTCATCCTCGCGGCCGCGACCCGCGCCACCACCACTCCTACCGCCCCCACGCCCCGCACCTGCTCCACCCTGCTTGCCCATCGCGAGTTGTTAAAGCGCCTCCTCAACCTAAACCCTAAACCCTTACGCGGCCGATTCGATGCGCGTCGCGCGATAAACCCTGCAATTTGCGGCTAAATGAGATACGCAATGGAGTAAAAGGCAGTGGCCGTGCGTCGTGGCTAGAATCTAGCTGGCGAACAGTGAAAAACCGTTGCGACGCCACCAACGTGGCAAAATGCGTGCGCGAATGACGTGGCTCGACTAAAAGGCCATGCGGCGCACAATCTACTACGTGTCGTCTTAAAATTTCAGCCACCAAAAACCGTGAAGAACGGTGTGTTTTGGAGTACTTGGAGTTGTGTGCAAAGCCCTAAAACTTTCTCTCAAACGAAAGAGATTTTGAGAAATGCGTTTTGGGGCTTTGCAAATTTTCCCTATGTGCTGGCGAGATTTCGCGCTGCGATGTATTTCGACATCGCGCGCGATTTAATTTAAATCGCAAATCGCGTTTAAATCGCGATTTTCCGCTGCGATTTAAATTAAATCGCGCGATAAATAAATCATCGCATCGCGCGATGAATTAAAAAAAAAAAATACATCGCCATCGCAAATCGCGATTAATCGCGATGCGATGCGATTTAAATTGCTCATGTTTACAGTAACCCTCTTGCTCCGATAACTCGCTCTTAGTCATCTCCCCCATCCTTCATCCCATCCCCAATGCTATCTGCTCACCACCTTCCATGTCCTCGTGCCCCTATACCTCTCCCATCGCTGCCCTTTGCACCTTCTTTCTCGACCCCTGCGCCTCTGATTCCCCTCTCCCTTTTACCCCCCACCCACCCTCTCCTCTCCTGCCCCCCTTCCCCCCCACCTTCCCCCAGTGACGGAGCTCATCCTGGTCAAGGTCAGCAAGGCCAGGTGCAGCTTGTACAACTTGCATACGGCCCAACGGAGGGACGCTCATCGGTATCAGCAAAGGCACTAGGGGGGGGCGGAAGGAAGGTGAAACAAGTGGAGCCGGCCGCGGAGGTGTATCCCCAGCGAGCAACGCAAGACATGCTCGACGCCGGGCTGACTCAGGAACTTTGGGCAGTTGAAGTGAAGGCATGGCGGTTATTGGTGGCCGCGGATGGGGATGGAGTGGGAACTCAATCTCATTTGACAAATGCTGCACGAGGCATGGCAGGAGGGACCAGCAGACAGATTCCTGCACCGCAAGGCTAGGGATGCTTGGTGGAGTAGGAAGGGGCAAGAGGGCTGGTCTCCTCTCAGAAGGAAGAGCACCAGGGCAGCACGTGAGCATAACAAGCGAGGAACAAGTGACGGGGCAGGGAGCAGCTGGGGGCACATCACTGTTTCGAAGCACATGGGGATGAGGAGCAAGCGGTTTCTCTGACAGCCTCTCTCATCCCATTTCACGCCCCCCCATGTATCTCACGCCTTCAAAGCCTCATCCCATAAGGGTGCCACAGCCATTGACTCGTTGCTTCCACCTGTCGGCCAGTGTGTCACTGCCATGTGTCGCTGAGCGCTGCCTTGGCACGCTCACACAGGGTTGAGATAGGGATGATGAGGGATCTGCCCATGAAAGCCCAATTTTAGTGCGTTACCTGCTTGTAATCCCCTCTTGATGTGCATTATTCTTCTGTGCCAGGTGGCAGCAATTCGAACATCAGAACCCTTTGCTGTAGGTTAGAAGAAGCGAGGAGTTAGAGTTTGAACAGATAAAGCTATTTGGCCATGTTCTTGTATGGTATATACCTTGTGTGCCTTCTTGCTGCTCTGTAGTTATTCGGCTTATTTTCACATTGATTGCTTGCTTATCAAATCAACATCCTGCCAAGAGTATCCACTTTCACTATCCGAAACTATCTGCCCCAACCCCCCTGGTTCTAGTATTTAACGCCAAATCAAACCATGTTTGCCTTCACACTCGTGTTGAAGACTTGTCCTCATTGTGATTACTAAACTCCAGGAATGGCTTACACCGTGTTTCAATCTAGGTGCTTCAGAACATGCGAAATTGAAGACACCCCTTTACGCAAGGAGCAGAGGCTACCCCTGAAAGAGCCGAACATTGTCGAATAGGGGCTTGGTATTTTTTTAGTTTAGGGAGAACTGAAAACTCTTCCCAGTATCTGTCTCTGGCTGGACATTGCAGCTTTCTCCAACCACCACTGCTTTGCTTCCTCACAGCCAGCAGCAGTCAACTCCACACCTGACTGCAGAGCGGAGCAGCCAAACCAACCTGAAGCTTGTTTCACGTGCCTTTCAACCAGCGCCCTTGCTGGCCTACGATTTCTCTCGCATCAATCTGGTTGATGCATCTCGGTAGGAAGTAGACGGGCAGAGTCTCGCACGAGGCTCTTGATGGACCAAACGGCTTTCGTTTGATTATAACTGCAGGCGGCATTCACGCCAACGTCAAGCTATTAACGCTACGAATGCTGAATCATTAGTGCGATTTCCACATCAGTGCAATGGCTGGGCGAAGCGGACCTTGCTCGCGAAGACTGTCGCAGTCTTACTTCTCCGCGTTTCTGATTTCGCTTCTAATATCGGACATTTCCATTATCGCATATGCTGGCGCTTCGGAAAATGATGGTCAGTCCCCACTCGCCCTACGCCATGCATGCGTATCGCCCTATAAATGATTTGTTTCAGTAGGTCGTCACACTGCGTCCTGAAGAGGTTGTAGCTTAATTTCAAGCATGAGGTGTGACCGTAGGGTTGCTGGTTGCAAAACTCGCGAATGTGGCATCGCAGTGTCGCGACCAGGAACCGTTGCTCGCCGCATTGCGCTGGGAAAGGGTTATCCGTCGGAATCTAGGGCCACAGAGGGCCACGGAAAGTGCAGGCCGTCGCAAATGAATGTGAGCCACGTGTCATCAAGTGTGCGCTTGTACAGTGCAGTTAGGCCTAGCAACCAATGCGATATGTACGTGCCTTGCGCGACCAGCTCGCGCATTTTACCTCTTCCTTACCCTTTGGCCTTCACCTCCCCCCCTTTCCCCCCCCCCTCCCCCGCCGGTGCAGTGCGCGCGCTGCTGGACATGCGCGAGGAGATCAATGTCGTAACGCTGTCTCCCTTACCCTTATCCCCCCCCCTTCCCCCCCTGCGCTGCAGTGCGCGCGCTGCTGGACGTGCGCGAGGCGATCAATGTCGAAATGCTGTCTCCCTTACCCTTATCCCCCCCCCACCCCCCCTGCGCTGCAGTGCGCGCGCTGCTGGACGTGCGCGAGGCGATCAAGGAGGCGAACCCGAGCGCGCTGGAGTCGTGGTCGGAGTTCACGGACCCCTGCGGGGGCGGCTGGGAGGGCAAGTTCCTCTGCGACAACGACGGCCACGTCACCTTCATGTGAGCCACGTCACCTTCATGTGAGCGCCACGTGGAACTGAACACTTGATTTCGTCTCGGATCAGCTCGTCTTTCCTGCAGTTGGCTGCTGCCTTCCTGATCCCCCGCATGGATCTTGATTTCCCTCTTCTCCCCACCGCCCGCATTGCCTGTCGTCGCCCCACCGCCGCAGGTCGCTCCTCCAGCTGAACCTGCAGGGCCCCATCCCCGGCGTGCAGCTCGCCGCGCTCACCTCGCTCAACCACATGTACGTCCTCTCCTCCTGTCCGCCTGTCGCCTGCTCAACCACATGTACGTCCTCTCCGCCTGTCCGCCTGTCGCCTGCTCAACCACTTGTACGTCCTCTCCGCCTGTCCGTCTGCTCTCCCACATGTGCGTGCCTCCTGCCACCTGCTCACCCACTTGTACATCCTCTCCGCCTGTCCGTCTGTCTGCTCAAACACATGTACGTGCTCTCTGCCTGTCGCGATAATGCACGCCGCCCACTTCCGTGGGAAGCACGCCGCCCTGCCGGTGCAAGCACCTGAGCTCACTCCGATGCTCGTCTCACGACAAGGTTGTAAGAAACTCACGACGCGTTGAGGCGGAAAGATGAGCAGAGAACGCTCTAACCTCCCCTGCGGATTGCAATGCAGGCTGTTGAGGTGTTGGGCTACCCCTCCTCGCCTCAGCTCTTCTCCGCCCCGCCTTCACCACACGCTGTTCCCCTCACGCCCTCTCCCGCTCTCATGCCGCTCACCCCCCCTCCCCCCCCCCCCTTCCCCCCCCTCTTCCACCTGGCAGCGACCTGGGGTCGAACTCGTTCACGGGCACCATTCCCGAGCAGCTGCTGCGACTCACCTCGCTGCTGCACCTGTGAGTGGCGCTCAATGAGCGAGCCACCATGCCGTCATTGGCGCTCGTACACGCTACATGCAAAACCCTCATCACCTGCACTCAGCTCAGGGCATGCTCTGACTTCATTCAACCGCGTCTACCATCCTTCCCACCACTCTCATCCATCCCATTCCATCCCCCCCCTGCCCCCTCCCCCCCCCCGCCCTCCCTCTTGTGGCAGGTCGCTGTCGTACAACAAGCTGAGCGGGCCGCTGCCAGGCGGGCTGAGCCAGCTGAAGGGGCTCCAGCAACTGTGAGGCGCGCAGGGGGCAACAGGGAGCAGGGGCGAGCAGGGGGGCACACTGGATTGTGAGGGCCTTTGGCTTCCGTAGGGGCGTGCAATGCAGCGCGCGTGGAGGCATTGGAAGGCGCATGGGAATGGCAGCTCATCAAGCACATGCAAGCATCGTGCAGTGCACACATGACTCAATTGAAACCCTCTGCTGTCTCTCGCTGTTTGTTCATGTGTGTGTGTGTGTGTGTGTGTGTGTGTGTGTGTGTGTGTGTGTGTGTGTGTGTGTGTGTGCACGCGCGTGTGTGCATGCATGCCACAGGCGGCTGGCAGGCAACCAGCTATCGGGCGAGCTGCCGGCGTCACTCTCCTCCCTCTCCAACCTCACGCTCCTGTCAGCCCGCTCTCCCTTATCATGTCTTGCCATACTGTCATGCCATACCGCACCATGCCATGCCATACGACATCACGCCATACCATGTCGTGGCACGCCATGCCATGTTCATCCATGGCCAGCTATGGCATGCCATGTTCATCCATGGCCAGCTATGGCATGCCATGTTCATCCATGGCCAGCTACGCCATGGCCCATGTGCCACGCGACCCTTCCATTGCTGCTCGAATCGACTCAAGGGCCACCCCTTGTGACTCTGCCTCTCACCGCCCCCTTCACTGCCCCTCCCATGCTGCCCATGCACCAACCCTTGGCGGCGCGTGGCAGCAACCTGTGCAAAAACCAGTTCACGGGGCCCCTCCCAGCGGACTGGAGCAGAATGACGCAGATGGCCACGCTGTGAGTGCGCTCGGCTCGGGTTTAGGGTCTAGGTGACCCACCTCTACCGTGCCAATCAGCACGGTGTGAACGCGTTGTTTAGAGTGTGACCTGATGCCTAGAGAAGGTTATGCGCTTGTCTGTTTGGGAATGTCTGCCCAATCTTCACATTCTATCACCCATTCCTCCCTCATTTGCTGACCACCCGTTCGTCCCCCCTTGCCATACCACCCCTCGCCTCTCCTCTCTCCCCCGCTCCCCGACCTCAGCCGGCTCTCCTCCAACCAGCTCTCAGGGGACGTTCCTTCCTGGCTCGGCTCCTGGCGCAGCCTTGTGGTGCTGTGAGTCCGCTGTGCCTTGTGGTGCTGTGAGTCCGCTGTGCCTTGTGGTGCTGTGAGTCCGCTGTGCAGTGTGGTGCTGTGAGTCCGCTGTTCCTTGTGGTGCTGTGAGTCCGCTGTGCCTTGTGGTGCTGTGAGTCCGCTGTGCCTTGTGGTGCTGTGAGTCCGCTGTGCCTTGTGGTGCTGTGAGTCCGCTGTGCCTTGTGGTGCTGTGAGTCCGCTGTGCCTTGTGGTGCTGTGAGTCCGCTGTGCCTTGTGGTGCTGTGAGTCCGCTGTGCCTTGTGGTGCTGTGAGTCCGCTGTGCCTTGTGGTGCTGTGAGTCCGCTGTGCCTTGTGGTGCTGTGAGTCCGCTGTGCCTTGTGGTGCTGTGAGTCCGCTGTGCCTTGTGGTGCTGTGAGTCCGCTGTGCCTTGTGGTGCTTTGAGTGTGCTCTGCTGTCTCGTGAGTGTGTCGCTCTCGTGCATAGCCCTGCCTGCCAAAGCCACTCCTTCCAACTGAATCCCTTCGCCTCCCCCCAACACACCCCCCCCCTCCCCCCCCTCCCTCCTCCCCCCCTTTCCTTCTCCCAGCGAGCTGTTCAGCAACAAGCTCACGGGCTACATCCCTCAGGACCTCGCTCAGGCCACCACCCTCGTCTCGCTGTGAGCACCCTCGTCTCCCTGTGAGCACCCTTGTCTCGCTGTGAGCATTCCCCTTGTCTCCATGGCTACCTTGACTCCGTGTCGCCACCCTCGTCTCCCTGCCCTCCCCTCCCTTTACCACATCGTTGCTTGCACACCCACCTGCTCCCCCTTGCCTTGTTTGTCCGCCCCTCCCATCCAACCCCTCCCCTGTGCGCACTGTGCGCCCCCCAGCGCGCTCGACGTGAATGAGCTGCACGGGTCGCTGCCCGACGCTTTCAGCCGCCTCACCAACCTCAAAGAATTGTGAGTGCGCCTGTGCTTGTTGCACATGGCTGGTTGGTGGCCTCTCAACATCCCAGCCACCTTGCTTTCCTCCTCTTGTTTCCCCATTCGCTGCACCCCTTGCTGCTGCCCCCCTTTTGTCTCTCTGCCATCCCCTTCATAGACTGCTTTCTTTCCGCTACGTGCACGCTCACTCTTTTCTCCAGGCTTAATCCTTCTTCCCTCTCTCCTGTTTCCATGTGTGTCTGTGTGCGTTCCTGCCTGGCAGGTACATGGCGGGCAACAAGCTAGAGGGCAGCATCCCTGCGTCCTACAGCGCACTCACGCAGCTCAGGTTCATGTGAGTTCAATGCTCACAGATATGACAGCACTGCCCAAGGCATGCTGAAATGCCAAGTTGTGAGCCTGGAGTCTCGCGCGTACGAGGGGCAAGCTCTGCAAAGTCAACCCTTGGCCGATATAGTTTTGCCTCCCTTTTCCTGCGCCGACCTGTTAATCCCATCTCACCTGCGTCAACAGTGTCAATCTGCAACTTGCCCGTTGGGCGCTCATCAGTCCATATCCTGTCCATGTTCCCTTCTCTTCCTCTTCTGCCCTCCCCCCCTTGTGCCACGTGGCCTGCAGTGACGTGAGCTACAACGCTGGTCTGGGCGGCACCATTCCTGCCTTCCTTGGTGACTTTGAGAAGCTGGAGTCAATGTGAGTCCATGAGAGTCAATGTGAGTCCATGAGAGTCAATGTGAGTCCATGAGAGTCAATGTGAGCCCATGAGAGTCAATGTGAGCCCATGAGAGTCAATGTGAGTCCATGAGAGTCAATGTGAGTCCATGAGAGTCAATGTGAGTCCATGAGAGTCAATGTGAGTCCATGAGAGTCAATGTGAGTCCATGAGAGTCAATGTGAGTCCATGAGAGTCAATGTGAGTCCATGAGAGTCAATGTGAGTCCATGAGAGTCAATGTGAGTCCATGAGAGTCAATGTGAGTCCATGAGAGTCAATGTGAGTCCATGAGAGTCAATGTGAGTCCATGAGAGTCAATGTGAGTCCATGAGAGTCAATGTGAGTCCATGAGAGTCAATGTGAGTCCATGAGAGTCAATGTGAGTCCATGAGAGTCAATGTGAGTCCATGAGAGTCAATGTGAGCCATTGAGAGTCAATGGCATGCAGCAAGAGTCAACGAGGGCAGTGCATAGCGCCTCTGCTCATTGCCGTCGCAGCACCATTGCCCGTTGACCACTCATCCCTCCCCGATCTCGCTTCAAACCACCCCCTGTCCCCACCTTCCCCCCCCTCCTTTTCCCCCTTCCTGCCGCCTCCTCTCTTCAGAGCGATGCAGTTCTGCTCGTTCACGGGCCCATTACCCCCCGAGCTGAGCAATCTAGCCCACCTGCAGGAGCTGCTGCTGGACAACAACGCGCTGCAGGGCGCCATCCCCGACAGCTGGGGCACGGGGCTGGAGCGCGTGGCCGTGCTGCACCTCAACGACAACCGCCTGAGCGGCGCCATCCCGGGCACGTTCTGCCACCTGGAGTACGCCAAGGACGTCAACCTCGCGCTCAACATGCTCTCGGGCCCCATCCCCATCTGCCTCACCTCGCTGCGCCGCATCTCCTCCCTGTGAGTTTGCATTTCTTTCCCGTGAGCCCGAAATAAGACGCGATCGAGTAATACTTGACTTGCCTCGGGCTGCTTCAAGTCAGTTTCAAATCCTGCCTGGATACGCTCCGTGTCAGGCGATTTTCCCCACCCACCCCCTTATACAACATTTTCCGATAAGGGTCGTTTTTTTCCAACTCTTAAAACACGTGGCAACTTGGGCACTTGGCGGTGTGCCTCCAAACTCTCGTTTTTGTTTTGATCCACAACTTCCGTGTCACGCACGCACACACGTGCTCCGCCCAAGCCGATGTTGCTGCCAAGTGACACTCTCACATATACGCCCACGTAGGCATGTTTAAATGCCGGGCGGGATCAGGCAGGGCCGGCCGTTTTGGGGGCCCTTGGCCGAGAGCCTCCGTTTTTCTAGCTCGACACTGGCGAGTAAAAAGTGCTCGCCTGACACCGGCGAGTTAAGCCCAAGACCTCGTTACTCGGGCGAGTTTGCTGGCCTTGCCTCTAGACGAGTAATTCTGCTGAGAGCCTCCGTGGCATTTGGTTTTCTTGAGGCGAGCAGACAAGGCGAGTATTTAATCGCCTTGTTTGCTCATGTCTAGCTCGCATCTCCTCCCCGTGAGCCCCGCCCATTGTCTCTTGCCATCTGCCCCCCCCCATTCATCACTTTCCCCCATTCATCACTTTCCACGATTCCTTTGTCCGCACTACTCCTACGTACTGTCCCTGCAGCCTTTACTTCTCCTTCACACTCTCTCCTCGCACCTCCCTCACACCCTCTCCTCTCACCCCCCTCCCTCCCCAGAGTGCTCTCCTTCAACCGACTCACCGGCCCCGTGCCGCCTGTGCCAGCTGGCGTGCAGGTCTTCTTCAAGTGAGTGCCAGCTGGCACCCACACCTTTCTCATATGCATGTCAGCTTGTTTGGGCTTGTGTTGTAAGCGAGTGCCAGGCGGCACAGGCACAGGCATCGCCAGGGGGGAGTGTTTGGTGTTTGGTGTGCAGCGCAGACCTTCCTGATGCCTGCCCCCGCATTCGACTGGGTTCCTGTCATTGCTCTCACTCTACCATCTCCCGTTTTGGCATGTGATGGCATGTGATGGCATCATGGCACGGCAGGGTGAACGGCAACTGCCTGGATGGCGTGGAGGACCAGCAGTCACCATGCCCCGCCCCAGATGACACCTCCTCTGCTGATGTCGCTCCCCCCACCACTGGCGAGCAACCAGAGCAGCAGGAGGACACGCAAGGGAGCTCCTGTGAGTGGTGGCAGCTAGGATTGACCTCAAACCCCAAGGTTTAAACCCGAGCTGTAGACCCAGGCAAATTATCACCTCATGTGCCCCTGCCCACCTCACGCGTGTCACATTCCCACCTCACGTGTCACATTCCCACCTCACGTGTCACATTCCCACCTCACGTGTCACATTCCCATTTCACGCTCCATCCTAACCCAACACTGCAACTCACCCCTTCCTCCCCTTTCCCTTTCTATGCCACCCTCACCCCCTCCCATCCCTTCCCTAAACCCTGCCATCCCCCCCCATCCAGCCACGTGGTCGTGGATGCGGGGGTTCCTCATCGCCCTTCTCTCAGCCACCTTTGTGCTGCTCCTCATCTTCGCCTTCGTGCTCCTCGCCAACCGCGGCGACTCGCACAACCCATCCGGCTCTGAGAACTGTCAGTGCCCCTTCCGCTCTCAGTGAGTTTCCCATCCTTCATCCCATCCCCAACATCACCTCGCCTCCACCAGCCATGCCCTCGTGCCCACTCCACACGCCTCACATGCCAAGCCTTCATCATACCCCTCGGCCGCTCCATTCCCGCCCCTCACAGCATCTCTCCCCCTCATCCCCCCTGCTGTCCCACCCCCCCCAGTGGCGGTGCAGGAGTTCAGCCTGTCCAAGATCAAGAAGGCGACGCGCAGCTTCACCACGGTGTACGGCAAGGGCAGCTTCGGCACCGTGTACCTGGCGGAGGACTTCCTCAGGGACCAGATCGAGACGCGCGCCATCATCAAACGCGCACACGACCCCGAGAGTGAGACAGGAGGGAGACGGCAGGGAATGCACTGCAGCGAAGAGTGGGGTTAGAGCAATATGAGTGTGGTGTGGGAGTGGGGTGAGATTGAGATGCGAGAGGACTGAAAACGAGATGCCAGGGTTGGGCTCTCCTGACCAACTGAACGCTGTCCACTCATTGCTAATGCTCTGCCATCCTCCCCTCTTTGCCCATCCTTTCCCCTTCACCCTTGGCCCCTCCTTCCCGTACCCACTCCCCCTCCCCTCTCCCCCCCCCCAGAGCTGGGCGAGTACCTGTTCAAGTCGAAGGCGGACTTCCTGGCGCGCGTGCGGCACCGCAGCCTGGTGGCGCTGCTGGGGTTCTGCGTGGGCAAGGGCGAGCGCATCCTCGTCTACGAGTACCTGCCCAATGGCTCCCTCTACGACCGCCTGCACCGTCAGTCTCCCCCCCTCTCCCCCCCCTTCGCCCTCCGGCCTCCGCTGTCCGCCCTCTGCCCTTTGCCCTCTGCCCTTCGCCCACTGCCCTCTGCGGTCTGCCAATGCCTTTCGTCACACAGCCATGCAGCCATGTTTGACCTTGCATCCCTCTTCGCCAACTCTCTTTCTCCCATGCCACTCCCTCTTCCCTCTCCTCTTGCTGCCCCCCCCCTTCCCCCTTGTGTCTCCGCCCTGCCGCTCGTGAGTGCAGGGCCGGACCTGGAGCCGATCCCGTGGGACACGCGTGTGCGCATAGCGGCGAACGTGGCGTCGGCGCTCAACTACCTGCACCACTGCTGCCACCCGCCACTCGTGCACCGCGCCGTCACCTCCTCCAACATCCTGCTCACCTTCGACATGTCCGGCAAGGTCAGCCCGCATGTGGGAAGCCCTGTGACTTGTGGTGATACGCGTCCTTCATGCATGGCAGGCGCACCCAGGGCTGCTCGCTTCTCCTGCTGTCCCTCACACCCCCTCTCCGGTCCGCCCCTCTCCCCACCCCCGTCCCCCACTGCCAGCTGTCTGACTTTGGTCTGGCCCGCGGTGGCTCCCCCGCCGTGTTTGACGACGGCTCCAAGCGGCGCCGCCCTGCCAAGCCTGTGCGCACGCGCAGTGGGGGGGTGGCGGAGGGCGAGGGGAGTGAGGGGGGGGAGGGGGGCGAGGAGGGGCAGAGCGTGCTGCAGGGGCCGGACCTGGAGAAGGTGGACGTGTATGGGTTCGGCGTGGTGCTATTGGAGCTCATCACGGGGCAGAAGGCCATGAAGGAGGTCCACATCACCAGCCTCGTGAGCCCCGCTAACCCGCTACCCCCGGCCTTGTATGCCGCCCTTGCTGCTTCCATGCTAACAATGCTCCCCTGCCACTCTGCCGCTGTGTTACCTGATTCAAGCACGCTCCCCATGCCCATTCTCAACCGCCTTCCTGTCCCATACTCCTGCCCCTCCTCTCTCCCCCAGGCAGCGCCCTTCCTGGAGGACGCGCAGATGATGCCGCTGATGGTGGACGCGGCGCTGGGGGGCTTCTTCGACCAGGCGGAGCTCATCCAGCTCGGCACCATCGCGCGCGACTGCGTCAAGGAGGAGCCGTCGGCGCGCCCCTCCATGCGCGACGTGGTGCGCACCATGCAGGCCAAGCTGGACCTTGAGGCCGAGCTCTTTGCCGCGCCCGCTGGGGCCACCGGCATGGATGACCTGGAGCGGGGAGAGGGGGGGGTTGGGCCCACCAACTCAAGTGGCTATGCACGCGTTGACGGCAAGAGTGCTCTGGCATCCGCGTGGGTTTCACTGGAAAATGTCGCCTCCTCCGTTCGCTCGGTCCTGACTAGCCCGCGGTTGACATCGCCACATCCTGCCGGTACCAACGAGAGCACAACTGATCCCACTGACGTGGAGATGTCCTCCCTGTTGCTTATTGCGCCTCGGGCTGCTCGTCGGTAGTTTCAGCTAGGCACTCACACAAGCTCTGTTGTAGAGTATTTATTTGGATGCATCCGCGCATTCGTAGTTTTGCGCAGCATAACTCCTTGAAACCTCTCCGTACTGGTCGAATCGTGTACAATAGTTGTATTTGGCTGATTATTTGTAGGTTTCTACCATACAGATAGGCTTTCTACCACCTCGGTTATGTAACACTTCAGTCGGTTTTGGCTGCATGATGAGTGCGATTTCGCGGACCAATCGGCGACCCCAAAACTACAGGCCAAGCCGATGTTGCCCACCAACCATCTGATGATGGCTCGAGGCAATCCGAGCCATCCTCCGCCATTTCGTGCTGAGCGCAGTTTTCGCCTGCCCAGGGCCCCCTGGTCTCGACTCGAGCTCCGCGTGTGTGGCTGTGCAGCCTTTCTCGCTCGCAGAGCTGCCCGTTCCTCGTCAGCCCCACAGCCAGCCTGCCCACTCGGCATTCCCGGCATCTGCCCACTTGGCAACCCAACTGCTACCATCCCCATAACTCCTGCCTGAATCCCTTTCCACCGCAGCCATGGCTGCCTGTGCCCAGTCAAATAACGGCATAGCACGATGCATGGAACCCATGCTGCTCGATGCGTCATTCCTCTGCCCATCGGCTGTCTGACCTAAATAGCATCGTTGCCGTATTAGCCACTTTTCAGAACCTCGGCTGCGTGCCTTTTATCGGGGAGCTCGACTCTTCTCGACGCCTGTAAGGTTTGTCGTTTTGTTTCGGTTCTCCGCTGCGTCGTCCGAGCCAGCACCGCCATAGTCGCCATGGACGTGAGGCATCAGGCGGCGCGATTCGAGATCAACGAATTGCGTCGGTGCATGAGCACGAATTTGGACAAGCTGGTTACCACCGCGCCGTCGGTGCGTTTCGCTGACGAGGTGGTGGACCTGGAGGCGGCGGCGGAGGCGGGGCCGCCGCAGGTGACGTTCGCGCGCTCCACGTCGTTCACGGGGCACAGCTCGTCGGGCGAGACGGAGGCGGCGCGGCGCCTGGCCGTGCGGCTGCTGATCGGCGGCGCCAAGGAGGACGGCGGCGGCGAGCCGCAGAAGGAGGGGCGCGAGCGACGCCGCCGCCACGGCAGCAGCAGCGGCAGCAGTGGCCGCGGTAGCAGCAGTGGCGGCGGCAGCGGCGGCAGCAGCGGTGGTGGCGGGGAGTCGCGGGGGTCGTGGGCGAAGCAGCGGAGCTACTCGCTGAACCAGGAGTGGTCGGGGGGAAAGCCCGTGCCGCGCTCCAGCGGGGGGGGGTCGGAGACGGAGAGCGTGGAGGGGTCGAGCAGAAGCGAGAAGCGATCGCTGGCGAAGGAAGTAACGTCGCTTCGGCGACAGCTGGCGGAGTTTGAAGCTGCGAATCAGGACCTTCTAGGTGAGTTGCGGTCCAGACGTGGCAGCGGATGAGAAGGGGCCGGGCTTGGGACGTGGCAGCTCTTCCGAGGTGGCAGGGCATGGGATATGGCAGAGGCAATGCTCCAGTCGTCCATCCCTGCGTGGTGTGGCGGTTCTTAGAGTGGCCGTGAGAGCGAAAGCATGGAAAGAGCACGAGCGTGCCGGGCATACCAAGGCAATGGCTATTGCCCAGGTAGCGACCCCGCTCAAGGCACTTACTGCCCGAGGCTGTGACCGTCCGAGGCTGAGCCCGTCCGAGGCTGTGACCGCCCGAGGCAGTGACCGCCCGAGGCAGTGACCGCCCGAGGCTGTGACCGCCCGAGGCTGTGATCGCCCGAGGCTGTGACCGCCCGAGGCTGTGGCCGTCCGTGGCAGTGACCGCCCGAGGCTGTGACCGCCCGAGGCTGTGACCGCCCGAGGCTGTGAGCTGCCAATTGCGGAACGATTGTTGCCGGGTTCACAGCAGACATGTGGCGCCGTGAATGGTGCCGGCTGGGGCTTGTTGGATAGCGAGTATAGCATACGCGCTGTCTGCGCCCGCCGCAATGCCCTTCCATCCTCCCTTTCTGCCTCCATTGACTCCTTTCCCTTGACCCTCCAATGGCACTTCCTTACCACGCCTTTTCCCTCCCTGCCGTGATCTTTTTGGGTCATCCCTGGTCAGTTGCTCACTCTCCTGCATCCTCTCTCCCCTCCACCTCCCCCATTCTCCTCTATCTTCCCCACCATCCATCTGAACCGCGCTCCATCTCCCCCTCTCTGCATCCCCCCTACTCTCCATCTTCCCCTCTCTGCATCCCCCCTGCTCTCTATCTCCCCCTCTCTCCATTCCCCCTACTCTCCATCTTCTCTCCCTCTCTCCATCCCCCCTACTCTCCATCTCCCCCTCTGTCCATCCCCCCTGCTCTCTATCTCTCCCTCTCTCCATCCCCCCTACTCTTCATGCCCCCCTCTGTCCATCTCCCGTACTCTCCATCTCCCCCTCTGCCCATCTCCCGTACTCTCCATGTTCCTTTCTTACCTTCGACCCCATTTTTCACCATGTGCTCCCGTTCTCCTCCCATTACCCCATCAACGCCCTATCGCCATTCTCCGCTACCCAAGCCCTCCGTTTCCCCCCTAATGACCCCCTTCCCCCCCCCCCCCCCCTCCCCCGTGCTGCGCCCGCGGTCAGACGAGTTGGACCGCAAGTCGCTGGCGGTGGCGGCGGCGGAGGAGGCAGTGCGCGACGCACGGGCGGAGCGCGACCTGATGGCGGCAGAGATGGAGGCGGCGCTGGGCACGTGGACGCTGGCCGTGGACGAGGCCAAGGAGGCGGCGCACGCGGCGGAGGCAGCGCGGGAGCAGGTGGCGGAGCTGGAGACGGAGAACAAGCGGCTGTGGCAGCTGGTGGAGCTCATTCTCGAACAGAAAGACAAGGCGGGCGCCGAGGGGGATGACGGCAAGGGGGGCAAGTTCGACCCCACCACCAACGCACGCATCATGTCAGTGCCCCAACTACCACGCTCACTGCAAGCCACCCCTCTCGCACGTTCAAAGCGTTTATTTGTGCTCATGGCTCGGTGAAGGCTGAGCAGATTCAGTCGCTCATGCTTCCCCACCCTCACGGCCCCATGCCCCCCTGCCAGGAAGGTGCTGGAATCGGTGAAGAAGTCGAATCACCGGAGCTCCTCCTCATCCTCCAGCCGCCCGTCCACGAGCAGCAGCAGACGGGGTGGCAGCGGGGGATCGTCGGCATCCAAGGCCGCTGCTGACACGGACAGGACAGGGGAGTCGGGCAGCGGCACTCGCAGCAGCAAATCCTCCAAGCAGGTCCGCTGGTGATGGCACCAGGCCTTTCAGTCAAACTGCCCTTGTGTGCCCAACCACAACAGCTGCATAGGAGGCTCGTGTTGATAGTTATAATTATGATAGGAAGAGTAGCCGTGTGTGTTTGTATACGAATTTTGATTCTTTCGTGTAGGTCGTAGGCTGAAGTGGATGAGGTGTCATTGCTTTTGTGCAGAATCTAGGGAGGGACAATCTAGTAGAGCCGTATGCAGCCCATCCACTTTGGTGGTGTCGAAACACTCTATAGCGGTTTTGTATTTTTCTATCCTGTATTAGAGTGTGTTCCTCGGTTTGATAACGAATTGAGTTGAGCCCAGCGGCGAGGCCTAGTGAGCATTGGGAAACTTGCGAGACACATGCCAAATCCAGGCTCCTGATTCCTCACTGCCGCGTAGATGCCATCCTTGGCGTAGAGTGTCCCCTCCCCATCCGCTCTGCCGCAGTCGTCCACCAGCGTCTAGCAGCCGTAAAATCAAACGCCATCCGCTTGCCTTGCCGCTGTGTTTGCCGCTCTCGCCTGCGCGCGGCCATGCGGGCTGTAAGTCTGCCGTGCTCCGCGCCTCTCGCCTGCCGCTCCTCTCCCCCGTCTGCCTCCCCCTCCTCCCCTCTGACCGCGCGCCCTCTCCCTCCCCTCCCATTTCTTCCCCTCGCTTCCTCCCCCGGCCTCTCCCTCGCCGCCACCCCCGCCCGTCACTCCGCGCCCTGCCGCCCCTTACGCCGATTCCGCTGTTCTGCCGCCGAGGGGATGGCGACGGCGTCGCAAGGCGTCGCAATCGCCGCCTGAAGCGGGCAGCGCGCCACGTGTCATCAAGCTGCAGGCGATCCCGCTGACTCGCGAGGCGTTCGCGCCCTTCGGCGAGGTGGTGGAGCCCGCCGAGGACGGCGTGGCGTTCGGCGCCGAGGACGCCGCGCTGGACCTCACACAGGGCACGCCGCGGTGGGTGAGGGGGGAAGGGGGAGGGAGGGGGGGGTGTGAAGGGGCGTATGGGGGTGGGGGGAGAGAGGGGGGATGGTTGGATGTGAAAGGATGGAGGAGAGTGGCGATGGCTGCAGTGACTCGTTCTGGACGCACACAGTGCTGCTGCTGCCCCACTCCGCACGCCATGCTGCATAGGCAGCTGCCTCAGACTGTATGCATTGCTGTGTGGCATAAGGGCCATTCACCGTGGGAATGCCATTAGTGCTGCTGTGTGTACTGCATCCGCCATGCTCCCATCATAAGACACCTGGGGGAGTGTATTTCCCCCCATCCTCCCGCCCCCTTCCCCCACCCCTCACCCCCCTACCATCCTCTCCCCTCTCCCTCCCCCTGGTAGGGTGTACATAATGCGGCTGCGGGACCGCCCTCTGGGGTTTAACCGCATCACGCACCACGCGCGTGTGACGCAGTGCCTGGGCGCCGTGGGCGGGCAGCCATGGTTCCTAGGCGTGGCGCCGCCATCCCTTGTGCAGGGGGATGGTGGTGATGATGATGATGAGTAAGGGGGGGAGGGGGCGAGGGCGCATAGTGCATTGAGGGCTCTGTCTGGTCCAGGATGCGGGGTGCAGTGATGGTACGAGGTCACATGAGCAGGGGAGGGGAGCAGGGGTGGAGGGGGCATTCTCAGGTGCACTGTGTTGTGCTCGCTCTTGAGCCCTCTCTGCCCCGTTCTCTGCATGCCTCTCCCATCTCCCCACCATGCCCTGCTGCCATGGGTGTCCTCCCCTCCCCCACCCCATCGTCCATTCCTCCCGTTTCCTTCCATCCCCCAGCCAACATCCATCTCACACCCATGGGCCCTCTCCTCCCTCCTGCGGCCACGCATTGCCCCCGCCTCTCTCCCACGCCACTGCTGCAGGGGAGTGCAGCGGGGAGCGGCGGGGCAGCGGTACCGGCCGCCAGAGCCGGGGGCGGTGAGGGTGTTTGTGATGGAGGGCGCGGTGGTGGTGAAGCTGCACGCGGGCACGTGGCACGCGGGGCCGCTCTTCGCCCAGCCCTGCATGGACTTCTTCAACCTCGAGCTCCAAGACACCAATGTGCGCCCCTGGGGGGGGGAGAGGGGGGGGGGGGAGGGAGGAGGGGGAGGGGATGGATGCGGCTGCCGTGTGGCCTTCATTCCATAAGATTCCTGTCTCCCATCTCCTGCCATGTGCTCCCTGCTATCCGTGTGCTCCCCATCCTCTGCATCCTGACTCACTCCTCCCCCACCCTCGTGCTACCAACCCCCCTTTGATCCCAGGTGGTGGACCACACAACACACAACTTTGCTCAGAGCGACGGCGCCGTGTTTGAGATCGAGGATGCGCACTCGTGAGGCGTGAGCCGTTGGGCTACCGGCAGGCCATGTGCATCTGCTGTCGCACGCACATGACGGTGGCTGTTGCAGTACAACGTTGCGCACGTGGATGCGTACTTGAGAGTGCCCAACGCATGTTGTGTGATGTGACGGGACTACTATGTAATGGTCCTAGGTTATAATCTTTGCACGTGAGGAGAGGTGAGGTCTTTACACAGAAGATCATCATCATTGACAACGCAGTTAGTCCGTACAAAAAGGCCCAACTGCACAACTACCCACATGAGAGGAGTGCTCGCATTATTGCTTGGATTCGTCCAAGTTGATGGAGATGATGCACGTACAGGAGGGATAAAGGCAGCCGTGTGCACGCGATGGCTGCTGCCCGTTGAAAGATTGCCGTTGTCATTGTAGTAGCAAGCATCAGAATGAATAATTAACTAGAATGGGGAGATACAAGGCAATATAGACTAGCTAGCTGTACCCACTAAGGCACAAACATATATAGTCTACAGTAACTGCATAAGTTATGTTTGACACACTCCCTAGACTATATAGGGGCAGTGCCTAATAAGGGAAGAAGCAGCTCAGGGCGGCACTACTAGTCCAGCCTCTGAGACAAGGGTCTAAAGACCAGTCACAAGGAGTACAGAAAAGGCAAGAGCAAGACCAGGGCGGCACTACTAGTCCAGCCACTGGGAGAGGCCACAAGGCCAGTCAGGGTAATATATATATATATATATATATATATATATATATATATATATATAAAGGACAATACAAAGTCAAGGCCCTAGCAAGTGAGAGGCTACAGGAACAAGACATAACTGTACACAGTGCCGCTGATTATCTTTAGGTGCAAGCGCCTTCGTAAAGATATCAGCTGTGTTGGCACTGGAGGCCAAGTGTACTACCGTATTCCCCCGGATAAAACACCCATGGGTGGCACTAAATTTTGATGCAAAATTTAGTGGGGGTATAATTAGTGGCACTTTTTGTATAACGCCCGGGGGTTATAGAATGACAATTTTATGTTTATGAACTGGAATTCAACTGTGTTGTAGACAGTTCTTTTGTGCCGAATTTTGACGATTCTTGCACGTGATCGCGTATATGGTGAGGACCACCGTCATGCCACGTTGCAGGCAAACAGTCATAGGTTGCCTGCGTCACAGGTTGTCAAAACGTGGTGGCAAGTGGCAACCTCGACGCCACAATGTGACATCGCACCAAAGCTGGAAGGAATCTGCGGCAGATTCCTTCACGACCCAACCAGGGACGACCGACATGGATTCTCCCGCACTGCAGTGTTGACTGTGAGGAGTGTGTTCCCATGAGCCTCGTACTGTATCAGACTCGCAACATTCGCCTGAGTGACGAGAATTCCAGGCATGGTAACTGCTCTACACCGCATTGAACCGATTCGCGTCGAGCTTGCACTGCTCAGTGACGCGCGAGTCTGATAAAAGACACTCTGATAAGAGGCAAAATCTAAAGAAATACAGTGAAAATGAACCAGGGGGGTGGTGTATAGGATTCATGCCAAAAACTAGGGTGATATGAATATCCATTTTAATAAAGCACCCAGGTCTGCCCAAACCACCCATGGGTGATTAATTCCGGCGGGTGTTTTATCCGGGAGAATACGGTACGCGCGCCTGGCGGCGCTGCTGAAGCCCACGCAGGAGGAAGTACCGCAGTTGGATGTGCTTCGCTCTGCCCTCGAGTTGAGGCTCCTGACACAGGAGGATCATGGCCCTGTTGTCAGCGTACAGGACCGGGGCAGAGCTAGGCCGCTCACCTAAGTCAGTGAGCAAGAAGGTCAGCCAGCGGAGCTCCTGTGCCGCCATGGCACCTGCGTAGATCTCAGCCTCACAGCTGGACTGGGCAACAGACGAGGAGCGGGTAGCTCTCTACGAGACGACACCTTAACCAAGGCTGAAGCAGTAGCCCTGCGAGGACCTGAGGGTCTCGGCGTCGTCTGCCCAAGAAGCGTCTGTGTGTCCAGTAAGGACCACTGACCTGCGTCCTCCTAGCACTAACCCCATGCTCGATGTACTTGCAAGATAACGCAAAACCCTCTTAGCGGCAGACTTGTGCTGAGGTCGGTGTCTGCCTGTAGCCACAAAGCGAGCCAGGATGCTGAGAGGGTATGCGAGATCTGGGCGAGTGCAAGTCATCAGGTACATGAGGCAACCCACCAGCTTTGCGTAAGGACCACTGGGCTCTGCCGACTCCTCAGGAACTGGAGTAGAGAGCCTGTGGTCTAGAGGCAGAGGAGTGGGCTGTGCGGAGGAGAACTAAAGGCCGAACCTCTGAAGGACCTGACGCACCAAGTGTGACTGAGTCAAAGTGATGGTGCGCGCTGCTCTGCCTCTGGAGATCTGCAAGCCAAGGTAGTGGCGCAGTTCTCCAAGGTCAGTGCAGGTGTGTCTCTTCAGCAGCTCTGCCTTCACGGAGGCCAGTGCGTCCTTGTCTGCCGTGGCGAAGACCAGGTCGTGTACGTAAACAAGGATGTAGAACGGGGTCTGGCCAGCACGAACGAAGAGCGAGGGGTCTGCAGAGGACGGAAAGAACTGCAGGTCAGCAAGCGTAGCACGCAGCGTGTCGTGCCACTCACGGGAAGCCTGCCGCAGGCCATAGACGGGGCGCCGCAGGAGCCACTGGGTCCCAGGAGGGAAGGTACCAGTGAAGCCCTGAGGGCGGCGAAGGTAGACCTGCTCGTGTAGACTGCCTTTAAGAAAGGTAGTGGAGAATTCGAAGGAGTGTAACTCGTAGTCACGCTGAACTGCTACGTGTAGCAGTACCCGAAGAGTAGTCATCTTCGGGGTCGGAGGGAAGGTCTGGAAGAAGTCCACCCCCTCACACTGACTGAAACCTCTAGCCACGTAGCGCGCCTTGAACACAGGCGGCTCTCCAGGAGGGCGCTTCACCTTGAAGAGCCAGCGGCCATCGACTACGTTCACCCTAGGTGGGGGAACTGCGTCGACGTAGGTGCCGGTGGATCTCCAAG